AATGATTTTTGGTCATTCACTTATAGCATTGAAATGTCTCATTACAAAACCATAGATCATCAAATGTCAAATTTTCTTTGTTTTGAAATAAAATTTTGTATAACACTTTTATAAATAATCCTTGTATTGCTACAAAGTCATGTAACCTACTCAATGTATAAGTTGTAAGACATACATAAACTCAAAATTTGTTATTTGATTTGGTGAAGATTTTTGTGATTAGAGTAACTCAGTTAGTTGATTTGTAGAGCTAGTTATATCATGATGTACTTGTAAAAAAAATAAAGTTATTAGTTACTTCAATGATTGATTGATTGTTGCGGTAGATAGTCCTCTGATTTCAAGACATTTGGGATATTGACTCTCGTTTGAAAGATCTCGTGTTTAAGTCTTCATAATGATATTTTTTTTTAAAATAATTTTTGAATTCTAAGTTGAAACTTACAAATTTATTTCTAACTACAATTAAGGCGACTGTAAGAAATTTGAAATGGTGAAAAGAAGGCAAGACTCTGCCACATATTATAAGGGATATAAGGGATGTGTAGATAGATTAAGGCTCAACCCCATAAACCTTCGGTTGCAAAAAAATCCCAACAAACATGCTTAATCCGTTAGGCTACTCACCTAATAATTACCTAATTAACATCTTCTCTTTAATTTATTTCTTAAACTTTTACTTTAGTGTTAGTCTCATTACTCCAGGCAGTCGATCGTGTGCATAATCATGCATAACCTGCCATATTATCATTTATGGAAAGCCTCTAACTTTTTTCTCCTATAAATTTTAACGGGATATTTCATTTAAGTTAAAACTTAACTTTTTTAAAAAAAAAATATTAGTATTGGTTTTCAAAATGAGATCCATTTTTATATTTTTTGAGGAAAAAATTGAGACATTTAGTACGTATCGATACCATAGTGATAATGTTTGGTATTACATAAAATCATACCACGTGGTATGAAAGTGTACCATGTTAGTATGAACATATCAAAGTGTAGAGTGATTAAATGCATGATATAGAAGTATACGAATTGCCATTTACCACATCCATCGTTGTTTACCACCATCCCAATACCAGGGTGGTATATTTTGGTCCTGAATTTTTTTCTCCAAAATTTCTTAGATACAATAGATCTCGACGAACACATTTCTTCTATTCAAAAAATTTCAAAATCAAGTTAAAAACAAAGATGGTACCATGTGGGACCAAGGTGACAACGAGTGGTAAGAGTGACACGCAAAATAATTTCTCAAAATGTAGTGATAATAGTTCTCATTTTGTAGACCACAACGAACTCATTTCATTAGTGAGAAAAAAATTATATCCAAGTTAGAACGAAAACAAAGGCTGATTAAAAAACTAATTAAGGAGAAAACCCCCCACTAATTCTCACCCCTTAGACTTGGTAAAAAAAAAATTCACCCCTTAGATCTGGGCCTTTATGGCCCCACACAAAACTAAGAGCCCAGATCTTGTCATGCTAGGATGATTAACCATTGGTTATTGGTTATGCACCATATCTTCTACTATCCTAAAATAGTAACATCAAATATCTGAACACTATGAGATTATTAATTTTGCTATGGCATCATAATCATTTTTCTAAACAATCCTTCATATGAGTTAATGGTCGATAGACCACGATGGTCTTTTAGGTCGATTGTTAAATTGTTAATTGTTAAATTAAAAAACTAAAAAAATCATCAAAATGCAGTTATTTATAAAATGCTAGTATCAAACCTTTAACACGAAGCAATATTACGTGTTTGGTTTTCTTTTAAAAAAATCGTTCAAAATGATCGAACTACATGGACTTGGATCCCAATGACTTGAATACGTAGGCAACCAATAAATAGGATTGGATACCTGTTTCAAACAGGACGGTTACCCAATCTTGTTCCTGTTTCAAACGGGACGGGTACTCGATCTCGTCCCGTTGCCCACCCCTATTTCCAGGATCACGTATAAGGAAGATGGGTGGTGGAATTAACAATGAAGTTGGTGGAGGCAATAGATTCATGCACGATTCTGTTGCAGCAAACAGTAGGGAAAAGGTTCCATCGATTGAGAATGTACACTATACTGAACAGGTGTGCCTTTTCTGCTGTGATTCATGGTAGGTGGGGGTGTAAATATGGTTGTATCAATGATTTCTTTTACGTTAATGTTCTTTCTTGTTTCCAATCGTGTAGATGCAATACAATGGCAACATTAGAAATGAGGAAGAAGTCGAACTTGATGAAGAAGAGAAGGGAGATTCCGACAACGAGTTTGAGTTGAACCCATATTGGGTCTCGGATGAGGATATTGCATATAGGGAAGAGATATTATCGACGGTGAAAAGGGCAAAAGAGAAGCTGTATAGAGGAATTCATGTTACTTATCACTCCGATGATGAGGTTGATAGAAGACATGACCAAGTGGATGGGCAAGAGGGTTTTAACTCCAGTGATTATGGGAGCTATAATGAAACCGATGAGGAGGATGAAGTTGTTGATAATGCAGTACGTAGAAGTAGGGGTGGACAACGGAAAACGGGTATTTGAGTATACTCATATTCGTCTCGTTTTTTTAGGATTATGAGTAGCCAAATACCCGTAAATTTTTTTAACAGGATGTAACATGGGATCAATAAATTTTATAATGGGTACTTGCGGGTTATCCGTTAATATCCGTTTGGATATTACGGGCACCCGTATTACCCGCTCACCCATAATTACAGATTAAATATTAGTTATGCATATTATTTTCATTCTGTTACATCACTCTAAATAAGAGGAAGCAGAGTACGCAATACAGAAGAGGAGTTTTTAATCTAAATTAAAGAACAAAGTCAGAACACTCTAGATAATAACGCGAGGATTTCGAGGGCATCAAGAGGCGTACCTCATAATATAATCATTATAATGGTACGAATGGAATCCCTTGGAAGAATTGCCTTTAAGGATTAGGAAATGATTAGACATTTCCTGTGCTTTTTGTTCTTGATCAGTCTTCCGTTAAGCACCAACTAATGGTTATGTCCATGCGTTAGATTTTAGTTGCTGTATTTGAATCGCCTTATATTAGTTAAGCACCAACTAATGGTTTTTTTTTACAAGTGCACCAACTAATGGTTATTGCAGAACGCTGCCTTCATCTACTACAGTGTCGAGTGGAGTGGAATTCTTCCGACCCCGTAAAAAGGAACAGAAGAAAATGCCAAAATAACAAATACCACCCAAATTTATGGGTTATTTGCGGGTACCGTGATCCCGTATGGGTTTAGGAAATGAGATGGAGTTTCATCTCTAAATGAGATTTGGTACCCGTTTCAAACGAGATGGGTACCCACTTCTGTCCCGTTGCCCACCCCTACATAGAAGAAGTCGCTTTCCACAATTCGATCAAAACTTGAAAACACCATTCTTTGAGCTTGGAATGATCTTCACTGACATGACTCGGGCAAGGGAGGCCATTAGAAAATATGCTTTGGCTACCAGGAAAGGTGTGAAGGTGAAGAAGAGGGAAAAAGTTAATATGCTAACTTGAAAATTCATTAGCAGATACTAACTGATATCTAAAATACATGAACTAATATCCAAGTACTAAAGTATCTAGAGAGCACAGACTAGTATTCAAGGTTTGCTACCTGATATCCACCGTGAATCAACTATTATCCCAAATTCACAAACTAATATCTAGACAACACAGAATAGTATTCATACAGTACATAATTAGTATCCATATTATACATAAGAGTATCCAGATAACACATAAGAGTATCCATATTGAATACTAGTTGGTTGATTGTGGATATTAGTTGGTATCTGCCATCTGGATACTAGTTTGTGATATTTTAAATACTAGTCTCCGCTATCTAGATACTTTAGTAAAATCAGTAGACTTGGATACTAGTTCATACATTTTGGATATTAGTTAGTATATACTAACAACTTATGCAGTTAGCAGAATAACTAGGCTGGAAGAAAAGTGATCCAACAAAGCTAAGGGTGGTCTGCAGACTGCAGGTACAAGGGTTGTCCTTTGACTCTTTTCACATTGTTGGTTTATGGTGTAAAAGAATCGATGCATTTCGAATCAAAACACTAAAGGTGCACAGATGTGGACTTCATTTCAAAAACAAATAATATAGTCTAGTTGTGATTGCAAAGAAGTATCATTAGAGGATAAGAGCACGCACATCCACATACCACAATGGAGGCTGAAGGACATGCGAGAGACAATTAAAGAAGAGATGATATATTATGTGAATAGGATGACATGTTCACGTGCTAAGAAGATAGTGATGCACTTAAGTCAAAGATGCTATAATGTTCACAAAGATACAAAGGTACATAAAGATTGAAACTTTGTGTTCTGCAGCAAGAAAGTAAAAACTTAACCAAAATGTTATGTTCATTCTACATGTACACCAACACTCAAATTTCAAAGACTCAAGTAATCAAACATGCAACCTACCCCGCTTTACTAACTCTTTACAAGTACAACCATGCTCCCTCAGTGAATTATTTATGACATTATGATCCAAAAGTTCTGCCCAACCCTCTCCAAAATGCAGAAAATGGGTTCTCTAGCTAATGAACCATGATCATACAATTCGTTTTCAAGGAAATGGATCTTGGATGTCGAGAATATCAGCAAGAACACTTGTTGCAATTGTGTTGTTGTCCGCCCCAACACCTTCGATAAACAGTGGCTCCGCATGGTAACACTTGTTGTGTATCTCCACCTACTAAACAACATTTGCTATCCATGGTGATCCTCCTCAACAACTTACATAAAGATTCACCACCTCCTCCTTCTAGGTTGAACCCCGTCATCTTCTCATCTCAGTCCAATAGATGTCCTGAATTGTCAGCCTCAGATGCTCTTCAAAGACAGCTGCAACAGCTTTTTCTTCTACATGATAAGTAATCATCTAACAGTAAAACTTAAGCAAATGAAACAAACACTTCTTAAGTGACCACATTGGAACAACTACTACAAACCATTCCCATAGCACAGAATTGATTGACGAAAACAGAAGCAATTAGGAGGTTAGAATTCAAAATTAGGAATCCCAGACTATTTGCAGAAAAACGAAAATGGGGCAAGAATCAGGTGCAAGAAATACTTCGAGGAAAAGAGGATAGATCGACCGAAGGACGCTGATCGATCCAGAAGTTGGGCATCTCACCACCGTCGAAGCCTGCTGCAGCTGACATCGATGACAATTTTCCCGGCAGTTGCCAACTACTGTTCGCAGGATAACTCTTCAATCGAGAGTCGCTGCTGTGTCTTCGCGTGGGGAGGCCGATGGAAAGCCGGTGTCTATGGAAATCTGCCAGTGTCGAAACTGGATTTCTCTAGTACAGGGACGCGAGAGAGTAGAGGAAGACAAAGTTCGTCGGGTGTGCAGTTCAAACCATATAATTTTTTTTACCAGGTGCATATTCTTAGAAGCTATTACACGAGCAAATCAGAAATGACTCAAAATTGGGATTTGATTCACCAGCAGAACCAGAGATATGTAATGAGACATAACTAGTCACACGCCAAAGGATCGTAAACTGAAACAGCTCTTGTTCCAGGGGAGAGAGCTAAAACTAAGAATGTCAACCACAAATCAGTGCTTTTGGCGGGAGTAGTGATTGTCATTAGGATTCCTCCGTCCACCATAAGCTGTAAACGCTTTTCCTACAGGTGGCTTGTAAGCAGACCTTTTGTCAACATGGCTGAAGATGTCACCTGCACCAACAAAGAAGTCGTCGTCCTGAAAAGACAAAGAAATTATGTTATCAGCCTTAATTTTCATGATGCAGATTGCAGAAGCAAGAGGTTAGATTTACCATCCGAGTAGAAAGCTGACCTTATTATTACTTTTCTTCTTCGTCTTAGGGCGAAGGTACTTTTGTGGGATTTGATCTTCACGCAGAATTGGGTTCTTAGTAATGGCGTCCCTTCCACCTTGTGGTAAAGGCAAGGAAAACTGCAGAGAGAGGCAAACCATTTCAATCACAGGTCTTAACATAACCTTGTTAGGAAATTCACGAGAACCGCGTCCGAATATGGAGCCCTTTTTGCACTTGGAAGGAATGGCATTGTTGCCACTTGCTCACATCGTGATGCAAATGAAAATCCAGACAACTAGATAGACACCGACCTTTGTACCACGCAGTGTGATACGAGGGCGACGTGCTGCTAGAACTACCCCATTCTCACCAACTGTAACTGCTACTTTTCTCAGTGTGCCACCATTTCCACATCTGGGACAGAAGAGCCTTCCGATTTCACAAGTCACAGTGAAGCATGCATGGCATTTCAGAATCCATCTGAAGATTTAAAACATCAATACAAGGGTTGTAGTTCGTGATGACATACAACAAGACCAGTTGAGAGGACACTATAAACTCAAGCACCAGTTCAATACCTGTGAAGCTGCCGAATTTGCATTCCTCCGGGAGCCAGAAGTCGCAAACCTATTTGCAGGAGAACATTCTGCATAGCAAAGTCACCAGTAACACAAGCTACACTTGACTCTGACAAGGATCTAAGCATCCAACTTTGCTCACTACTATCATCATCCTCACAATGAGTATCACAACTTTCATGTGTCTCACTCAAATTCTCCAACCCATCATCTACTGCATTTGCAACATCATTTTCACCTCCGGAGAGATGTGCACGTTCATCGCCATTGCCTCTCGAACCATTGTTTTTGTCATTCCCTTCCTGATGGGTCTCCACTGAATCTTCATCCAAACTCATTTGTTTAAGGATTGAGTTCAGGTTTTCATCTCCATTATTCACTTTTTCAACCTTCTCCTTCTTCGAGGCTTCATTTGCAGCATCTGCTTCCAACCCTTGATTCAGAAGCTGATCAGTGTCACTTCTTTCTTTCATACTGTCATCAGCCAATTGTCCCTCCATATCTTGCTGACTCTCTTTCTCAGATAAAGCTTCATAGTACTCCCATTTAGCTTTCCTTCTAAGATACTTTCTATGAGTACTCTTACTAACAGCAGGCAACCAATCACCAGCATTATCATCAACTTGCCCGTGAGATGCATCAATACCATCTGCAACCATCTTCTTCCCTTCAATTTTTACTTCTTTTTTCTGCGATGGGTATCTTCTGTGCGTCAGCCTACCATCCTCAACATCATCATGATTCTCCGAATGCTTGTCATCATCTCCTCTAGTAGTTGCAGTGTCAGCCTCAGATTTGTCATCGTCTATTACAATAGTGTTCAAGTCTACATCTTTCAAGGGCAGAATTCTCGAGTTCGAGTTTGTACCATCACCAGATTCATTTTCTATTGCCTCCCACTCTTTCAAATTAGGAACATTAGAGCCCCATCCAGGCATTTCCTTCTCAGGCAACCTTTTCACATTAACTGTATGGACAGGCGGCGGTGCATCTCTAAGATGTTGAGTCCCGTGTATCTGTCCCTCCAAGGAGTATGTTAGGGCAATGAGTTTAAGATCAACATCCGACAGAGTCCGCAAGTCACCAGTTGCCTTAGCAAACTTGACCACTGCAAATGAAACAAACCACATCAGGATGCAACCAAAGCTCTAGTCATTTTGATAAACGTGCCAGACCATACTAACTTCACCAGTAACAAGGCAAGCCCTGGTTGCTTTCATGGAATTTGTGATCTTATTCCAATTTATACCATTCTACTGAAACCAAGCACGCTCTACGACGCTCGCTCTCATATCCACCGAGTAACAATAAACCAGGAAAAGAGCAAGAAATTCAAAAGGGAAAAATGAGAAAGGTCGCACCTTTGTTGAGTGCTTCAGGGGTCGGCTCTATTGATTCAATAGTGAAGGGAATCAAAGCAAGGCGGTGGCGAGAAACGGGATCACGAATTTCATCGAGAACTTCAGGGACGGTGACGAACTTGTCGGCCAGGTGATGAAGCCTCTCTCCGCCTTCGATCACCGCATTGGCATCGATAACAGCCACAGAAATCCCTTTGGTCGACTTGCAGCTCTCGACGAACATCTGGCTCGCGCTGGTAGAGCTCTGTGGTTTCGGCGCCGGCGCCGGTGGCTGGATCTTCAAGATAGTGCTCCAGCACATCGGAGCTGCGGGGGAAGACGACGAGTTCGCGGCGGCCTCCTCCATCACTGCGGCGATGCTGTCAGTAAAGTGACGAAGTCCTAAAACCCTAAAACAACATTTTTGGAGCGAACAAGAGTACAAGATTATATATGGTAGAATTTAGAGATTGAGACGCTATATTCATACGGTGTCGTTCTTTCTATATTAAATTTAAAAGTTTATACTAGGGTAAATAGCACTTTAGCTAATCATCCTATGTTATTTTTATCCTAGGTGAAAGTTTCTAACATTTGACGATTAAATTGATGACTTCTCAATTAGAAAAGAATTCTTAAATTTGATGGTTCGGGAAGAGTTAGCAATTTTATCGTTACACATTCTTAATCTAGAGCACTTCTACTATGCTATATAGTATTGGTGCTTTAATGTACAATTTAAAGTTGTACCATAATATTAAATGTATAAGTTTAGGTTGTACCATAAAGCAATTTGTACCATTATGTTATGGTACAACTTTACAACTTGAAATTGTACCATCACATAAAGGTACAAGTTCAAGTTGTACCATAAAAGAATTTGTACAAAAAGTATAGGTACAATCTGAAGTTGTATCATAACGTAAATGTACAATTTTAAGTTGTACCATAAAGACAAAATCATATAGCACCAATACTATATAGCATAGTAAAATTTCTCTCTTAATCTAACCGAATAAGTAATAACAATTTGATTTCAACACAAAATATAGGGAAACAATATTTTTTAAGCAATGAAAAATATATACACAAAAATGTATATGTACAATTTTTAAGAAGCACGTACATAAAATAGGTTCGGGTCCTTAAGCCTACTAACTTAAGAATTATCTTAAGCCATTCTTATTGGTTGATGAAAATTTAGGCGGTTAATAGATTGCTAGTAGTTATTGACGGTTAAGAATAATTAGGATATTAATAATATTAATTAATTAAAAATTAAAAAGCCAATAATTAGGACTGCACTCATCAATTACCCTCAATCCCTCTCAATTGGCGCCCTTCCCATCGTGAAGGATGTCAAAAGCCACAAAATCCACCGCCACAAGCTTTTCGTCGCCGGCGGTGGTTCTTTTTTTTTTTTTTTTTTTCTGCCGCTTTGATACTTCCAGCAACCACAACCAGGCGAGACTCTGCTGATTTTCCTCCTCGCGAGTCAACTCCCTCCGTGTTCATGGATCTTTTCCCGTCAGAGGCGTTGGTGGATACGGGGATGTCATCGAGGCTTATCCACGGTGGAGCTCAGAATGGTGGTTCCCACTCGGTGATATGTTGTTGCGCATGTTGAGAGGTTTACAATAAAAAATGATGAGAAATCGTTAACAATGATGGATAAAAATTAACTTCATACACGCTAAGAATGACAATATAAATCGTTAATAATTAATTGCAAAAAGTTAATAATATCATTAGAAGTCATTGTAAAAGCCATGATTGACTAGTTATGGACATAATGTGCAAACATGAATCGTTAATAAAGATATTGTAAATCATTGATAAAATTATTCGAAGTGTTAATAATAATATGACATAACTTTAATAGTTACTTCTTGACGATGAAAACATAAGTTTTAGGCTTCACATTATTATTCAAGCTATTAATAATAATGTGCCAATTATTGTTAACGTTTTTGTTTTAGGTTTGAATGAAATACAATATTATTTTGAATGGAATACATGATGTTATTCTACCATTATTAATAATTTTATGTTGGTTTTCAACGAAATTCAGTTTCATGATTAATGACTTGCTCATTCATTATTAACGGTCTTCAATATTCGTATTATCGGCTTGATGCCATTTTTCAATGATAAATATATCATTGTTAATATTGTTGTTTTAGTTTTGAACGAAATACAACATTCATATGTATGTTTTGGATGATATATGATCGAATATTGGTTTGCTTGATTGATGTTTTACACCTCCATTAACTAATGTTTGGTTGACTAAATCACATATGCAATATGTTATAGATGTCAAAGATGTTAAAAATAAGTGGTATGATATATGATCGATGTAAACGACAATGTAAACCAATATCAGTTGATTCCAAAACGTCAACAATGTCATTGAAAGTCATAATAGGAGACCATGATTAGCTAATTATGCACAAAACATTAAAAAGTGATTCCTAATAATGAAGTTGTAAATCTATGATAATTTTATTAACCCTTTAATAATCGTTGATGGCAGAAATCTAAAAGTTAGCAATTGAACTAAAATCATAATAATTTAACCGTAAAACATTGATAAGTATATACTGATATTGTTAACAATGATGTCGTATATAAATAATAATTCATTTCTTAAACATTGATAATGGAATTGCAAATATTAATAATTTTATTAAAAGTTGCCACGGGAAGAGAGTGTAGACATTCTGAATTTTGAATTTCCTTTTTTAAAGCTTTAAATATTAATTACGAATTTCCATTTCCATTTCAATTCCAAATTTCATTAACTATTAAATAGTAATATTTAATTAATGTAATCTTATTTGCACTTTTAGGTGGTTAGACCTCACTTTCTCTCTCCTTCTCTCTTTTTTTTTTGACAAAAGATAATCCATTAGATTGAAGACAAATAGTTACACCCTGGAGGAAAGCCAGGTCTTAAAGTCATAGAAACGGCACGTAGCCGGGTACAAAGAGAGGGCTTTTCGTGCCACCAAATGGGCTACCCTATTGTTACTCCGACCTACAAACTGTACACAAAAACCAGAATGGCAAGCTAAAAGATCTATAACTTCTTGAAGAATCACTCCCATCTGGCTATCATTAGCATCCCCCCGATTTAGCTTATCAATAATCACCTTGGCGTCACCTTCAAATTGCACCCCCGAGAAACCCAGCCTTAAGCACCAATGAATTGCCTCGCGGAGCACCAGTAGTTCAACAATTTGAGGAACATCCATATGCGGAATCTGAATCCCATGAGCCAAAACCGGAGCACCACTCTCATCCACAATCACCATTCCACCCGCCGCATGAGAGCCATCCCTAGTCGCCCCATCCCACCTACAAACAGCCCTTATTTGTGGCCCAGGAACCTGATGCCCTAACAAAGGGACGTCCAATGCCGAGGGACGATCGACAGGTAAGCAAACCCACTCTTCAACTTGCTGATTAAACTGACGCATCAAGGCCACCATCCCAAATTGCTTCCCTTCAAATACCACCCAGTTTCTAGAACGCCAGATCCGCCACAGGATAGCCACTATCTTCATAAAGAGAGGCGCCTGAGTCACTAGACCCATCAGCCTTTTGAGGAAAAGTGGGAAAGTCTGTCGTGGCAACCCTTGGCCCAGATATTCCAGCCCCGATAAATCCCACATTGCCCGAGCCACTGGACAATCTAAAAACAAATGTTCCATAGTTTCAGATTCCGCCCAACAGACCGGGCACCGAGGAAGCACCTCTACCCCTTTTTCCCGAAGGGCCTCCGTGGTTGGAAGGATCCGGTTAAAAATCTGCCAGCAAAAGACCTTGAGCTTAGGCGGGATATTAGCCTCCCACAACCGGATCCAGCTAGGCTTATCCATCCAGCTAGCTAGCTGGCGCCAGCGACCCGTACCCTTCTCAATCGTCACCGCTAGATGATAAGCTGACTTAACAGAAAAAACCCCATCCGCAGTAGCATGCCAGATCAATCTATCATCGAGATTCCGCCGAGGAAGGGGGATAGCTTTTATCGCATTACACGTAGCAGGGTCAAACCACTGACTAAGCTTATCCTCCGCCCAGCTCCCATTCTCAGGATTAATCACTTCAGCCACAGTAGGATCTCCCCCTACAGGCAAAATGCGGGGATTATACTGTACCGGACAGGGATGAACCTGAGGGATCCAATTCGAATGAAGGAGGGAAGCCGTTAGCCCATTCCCAATCTGCCACCGTAAACCTTTCTCCAATAGCTGACGACCAAACAGGACACCTTGCCAACCCCAAGATGGACGGGACCTAGCTGTGGCGGAGAGGAAATCACCATTAGGAAAATATTTCCCTTTATACACTTGGGCTAGCAAAGAATCAGGCTCCATAAGGATTCTCCATCCAATTTTCGCCAAGATGGCCTGATTAAACTGTTCAAACCGGCGAAACCCCATCCCTCCATCATGTTTACTTCGACACATGTTGCGCCAGGAAGCCCACCGAATCCTAGGGTGGCCATCTTCCACTCTCCACCAGAAGCGGGCCACATGTCTGTCAAGGAGACGACACAGGGACAAAGGAAGCCGGAAACAGGACATGACATGCAGGGGCAGAGCTAACGCTATTGATTTAATCAAAGTCTCTTTGCCTGCCCAAGAAAGCGTGCGTTGTTTCCATCCTTGCAGGCGTGCCAGCAGTTTCTCCTCCAGATACCGGAAGGTAGCCATCTTAGATCGAGCTATCAGGGTAGGCAACCCCAAATATTTATCATGAACACCTACCGCCCCAACCCCCAGAATCTGGGCCAGGAACTCTTGGTCAGGTACCGATATGTTCTTACTGAAACAAACAGCAGATTTACCCAAGTTGACCCTCTGACCACTAAGTTCCTCATATTCATTCAAGACCTCTATAAGATTTTCACACTCCTGAAGCGAGCCCCGGAGGAATAAATAGGAATCATCGGCAAAGAAAAGATGGGATATCCTAGGAGCACGAGGAGCCACCTTCACCCCCTCTAATTTTTTATCCGCAATAGCTTGACGGAGCAAAGCCGCAAATCCCTCTGTGCAGATAACAAATAACAGAGGAGAGAGGGGGTCTCCTTACCGTAATCCTCTAGAAGGAGAAAAGAAACCAGCAGGATTCCCATTCATTAAAATAGAAAACGACACCGATCGGAGGCACTCGTGGATCCATCCTCGCCAAACAGCGTTGAACCCCATTTTATCCAAAACTGCTAGAAGAAAGGCCCATTCGACTCTATCATAGGCCTTTTCCATGTCAACCTTTAGAGCCATGTAGCCTTTCTTACTGCCAGTTTTGATTTTCAAATAGTGCATCAACTCATGCCCGAGAAGGACATTATCAACGATTTGCCGCTCCCGAATGAAGGCATTTTGCCCCTCCGAGATGACCTGAGGAAGGATACCAGCAAGCCTTTCTGCCATTATTTTAGTTATGATCTTATAGACAAACTGGCATAAGCTGATTGGGCGAAGCTGGCGCATATTCTCCACATTATCCACCTTGGGAATCAGAGTTAGCCACGTATGATTAAAACTGCGGAGCATACGACCAGTCTCAAAGAAAGAGCAGACCGCCTCAATAACCGAATTACCCACAACATCCCAAAAGGCTTTAAAGAACTTCCCTGTGAAGCCATCGGACCTAGGAGCCTGTTTAGACCCCATCGAGAAGACCGTACTACGGACTTCTGCCGGGAGAACTGCAGCAGTCAACAGAGTGTTTATCTCCGGAGTAACACTACGGGCAATAGGCAGCGTCGCAACCCTCTCAGCCATATTTGGAACCTGGCATTCGGAAGTGAACAGAGTTCTATAGAAAGAATCTGCCAGAGCCGCCTTTCCAGGCTCTTCTGTGATCCAATCCCCTTCGTCATTTCGAAGACCCGCAACAAAGTTCTTCTTCCGCCGCACCCTAGTGACTGTATGGAAGTACGAGGTATTTTTATCTCCTTTCTTCAGCCAGTGAATCCGGGATTTTTGCTGCCAATATACCCCCTCCGCTTCCCACTGCCTACTCAACTCTATCTCCAGCCGCTTGACTTCATCCCAATCAATTGGGGAGATTAACTTGATTCGATCAATCTCGGCTTGGAGAGTTTTGATGTTGCGCAAGGAGTTCGTAGTGCCAGCTCTACTCCAGTCATAGAGTAAGTGTCGAAGTTTCTTCAGGCGTTCCCAAAGCCTAAACATGGGAGTCCCTTGCACTTCCTCCCACCAGACATAATTGACCATCGCCCGCACCTCAGGATTATCAGCCCACCGAGCATCAAACCGGAACAGGGGGCGACTAGCTCTGACGTATGGTTTGTCTGCCAACAGCAAAGCTCGATGATCCGACCCCTGATCCGTAAAATGCTTGAGAATAGTATCCGGGAATAGATCAATCCAGGGCTGGGAACATAAAGCTCTATCAAGTCTCGCACGAATTCCCGCATTACCCATCCGTTTATTTGTCCAGGTAAACAGGTCGCCTTGGTAGCCTGGGTCATGAAGCCCTAAATCATGAACAAAATCCCGAAGACTGTCAGCATGGGCGGCATTCCAAGGGAGACCACCATCCTTCTCACTCTCCTGGAGAGTCGCATTAAAATCACCAATGACGACAAACGGGAGCTGGATGGTTACGCAGAGATCCCGGAGCTGGACCAACTGGGTCCTCCGGATTGGAAGATTGCAACTGATGTAAACAAACACCACCACATACGAAATTCCCAATTCATTAATTTGAACACAAATACAAAAATTCGAATAAAACAACACCGAGGCATCAACCCCCGGGGACCAAGCAACTACTAACCCACCCGATGCATCAATCGCATCAACAAAAAAACAATGAGAAAGATCAAACCCTAAACCCCTCATACGACGGGAAACTACTCTCCGGTTCGATCGTGTCTCCGAAAAGAACACAAGCTCCGGTTTATTAGAATGCAGAAGTCCTAAAGCAGTTTGGAATGTGAGGGATGGTCCAATTCCTCTCACATTCCAGGCGAGAAGCCTCATTTATCTGGTTGGGGCCACTCACGGCTGGCTACCTCCACCGAATCTTTTTCCACATTCTCCTCCACGAACTGTTTCTTTGGGGTAGGGATCTCCAAGCTCGCCCCCTCGAGCTCTTCAATTTGTCGTTTTTTCGACCCTAACCCACTTCCCGATAAATTGGACCCATATTCATTAAAATCAGAGCTTCCGGCTATGGCTTGTGATTCCAAGGTGGCTAAGGCTTGGGCCGGGCCCGTCTCGACTGCTTCAGTCATTGATAGCCCGTTCTCAAACGCCTGAACCACTTGTTGCACCCGATTTGGATGGGTCAAGCGTTTAAACTTCTTCTGCCCCATGGGCTCTCTTCGCCGAAGCTCAAAGGCCTTCTCATCATTCTCCATGGATTCTTCTTCCGACTCCATGGGCTCCTGAACAGCAAAATGGGCCTTAGGCCCGGACGGGTAATTGAGAGGTGCATCAGCAGCCCCAAACCCTTCCTCCTTCGTGTTCTCAGCCGCCGGAGGCCTGGTCACTTCCGTCTCCTCCATCATCGCGCCCCTTAAGCTCTCCTTCTTCCCACTTCTGGATTTCGAGCCCCTTTTTCTCTCCACAGTAGCGACGCTCTTTGCCATAAAAACTTCTGGATTTCGAGCCCCTTTTTCTCTCTCCTTCTCTTATTGGCCAATAAAAACTTAAGAAACTCCTTAAGTTTTAGACTTAAGGACATCATCAACCCGCATAACTACAATTAATTAATTACCATAAAGGCATAAAAGGAGAAGAAAGAAATATCAAGTAGAGTACACTAATTGATCAACGGGCTCTTCCCTTGACAACCTCCAAGCTCATCTCACATGGCTCAGTAGCTTGAACCTCAATTTGCACCCCATCTAGGTTGCTTCTGAATCCATCCTTTGAACTAGCACACAACATCTTATTCCTCACCTTTGAACCATCAGGAGACCTATAAACTGATAATACAATACACCATCATGAAAAATCTGGATCTTACTTCTTTCATGATGGGGCATTTCGATACAAAATGAGCAGGCTTTGGAGCTAATGATCAAAGAACAATGGTGGACGACAAATATGGATAAAATTTACCAAGCAATAAAGAAGATCTTGCTCTTGTTGAGATTGTCAAGGAGTGGTGAACTCGAAATCAAAGACCCCATATCGACACTCATTATCAGGCAAACTTGAAGCAAAATCGTCGTAGCTTTGACATGGTTCACCAAGCTTCTCCACCGTCACCTTCTGCTTCTTCTCTTCGATCTTGAACACGATGAATCGATGGGTCCTCCTGGCTTTCATCTCCAAGAATCTCTCCTTGCACTCCTCGCTTCCAGCCAGCCCAGATGAGGCGTTCCTCGCCTACACATTTTCCACAAAACAAACATTCAACAATCAAACTATATGAAATCAAAGAAGCTGCATTACAAAAAAAATGTTTCAAGACCTTACCATCTGAGAATAGGGCCTTGAGGAATGCTAGAGAGCAAAGCAAAAGAGTTCAGAAGAAGAAAAGTAAACAAAGAAAAAAAAAACAAGAACAGAAGTGAGCCAATGGGGGATTGATTGATAATGTTAAAGAGGAACCCATGGAGATGCTGCTTGTTTTTCTTGAAAGGATACCTTGAAATGTGGAAACAAAGATTTGGTCTTTTGCCTGTCTGTTTTTGGAATGATAAGTTTTCAACACAATGAAACCTGCCAACTCTATTTTTGGTTCACAATCATTACTTTTGAAAGAAACAAAACAAACATATAAAGGAATCAAACTGCCCACTGATTCGGTTCATCAAATTGTGAGAGAAGAACAACAGCTTTCATAGTAAAGAAGAACAGAAATGGAATCAAGACTGGAAGTATGATTCTCTACGGTTTTCTGAGAGAATCCCAGAGCACACCAAGGTCGACATTCCCTCCAGAAAGTATGATTCCAATGTGGTTGCAGTCCTTCGATGCAGGGTGTTTCTGGAATCTGTCAGATAGAACAGCTGCGAGGCCTATGGCTCCACTTGGCTCCACCGCAACTTTTAGAATCTCGTAGCACAGCTTCATCGCGTCTATGATTTCATTATCTTCCACAACAATCACATCGTCTACCAAATCTCTCACTACAGGCCTGTTAAAAATTTGAGGAACAAAGTGAGATCTCGATGACACTGTTAGATCCTGATACTTGATATGTGTTTTTATCTCAAGTATCAATGAGTTAATTGTTACCAGGTGAGATCTCCAAGGAAAGCACGAAGCCCGTCAGCAACCGTGTCTGTACTCGGCAATGTCACAATTTGTCCTGCCGCTTTGGAAAGAGCAGAATCATTAGCTCCACTAGGTTCAGCTGCAAAAATTTTGAGAGAAGGGTTGATGGACTTGGCGGCAATTGCCACTCCCGTGATCAAACCACCTCCTGAATGTTGTTCAGTCATTTGTTAGCAACACCAATCATCAATGAGACATTGGCCAGAATCAATCAACAAACACTCCTAGGTTGTTGAACAAACCACTTATGGGAACCACCAATGTATCCAGATGAGTTACTTGCTCTAAAAGCTCCAATGATATTGTACCTTGCCCACTGCAAAGGCAACAGCTGAAACTTGTCAATCCTCCAAGGCTGTAAGTAAGCCTATCCAGACCATTTCAATGCATTTGTGGTCAGCTAAAGACCTAGAGAGACATCCCTAGGATGATATGGCACTTATTGATGAACGTCCCATATGTACATCAAAACACATACATTAATGATATGACACTTATGGATCCGAGTAAGCAGTATGCGAGGCTACCTTATGATACGGCCATCATTGAATGGATGAAGAAGGACGGCACCAGTTTCCTCCAACACCCTACTTGCAGTATCCTCTCGCGCCTGCATTGTGTTCTCGCTCCAGATAACCTGACCCCCATAACGCAAGACGTTCTCAACCTTGCACTTGGGAGCATTTTTCGGTATAACTATGTAGGACGAGATGCCCCTTAACTTTGCAGCCAAAGCCAATGCTGCTGCATGATTACCACTATATACAAGAGTTTCGTTCACAGAATGTTTGAGAAACAGCTCAATATTAAGTAAAACAGCATTGACATCATTGGGAAAACCTGCTGTGAGTTACAACACCTTTGGCTGCCTGCTCGTCATCCAGTGAATATACGGCATTACAGGCACCTCTAAACTTGAATGCGCCCCTTTTAAGCAACAACATAGACAAAAAGCGTCAAATGGAAACCAGAACAAAAGAAGCTTCAGGTCAGCTGTCAGATACACATGACTCATGAGTCCACATTCATCTATACAACAGTAGCAAATTCCTTACCCCTTTTGCAAACATTCAGCCTTGAAATATAGCTTCCTTCCAGACAACACATTTAGAGATTCAGAGGTAAGTACCGGAGTTCTGTGTACGAATGGCTTTATACGATCGCGAGCTTCTCTAATGGAAGAAATATCTGCGGCATACTTCTCTTTACTTGCCTGACTCTGTGGTTCCATCCTTTAATGTGAGTGCAAGTATGGGGGAGTCAGCAAGCCAAGCAATACGAGTTCCAACCTGTAATCAAATTAAGCAACAAATTTTGAGCATGCGACTACCATCCCTTTCACTACTATCCCTTAACTACACAATACCAGTTCGCAGTTTAACAATGTTAAGCTATCTGCAGCCTCCCGTAAACATCCCCACAAGAATCAAACAGCCAAGAAGTGGTTTTTAATGTAGATTGACTGTCTGACAACTGAAGCAGCACATTCAGCTTCACTGATTGGAGATCGTAATGAAGAATCCAAAAGCAATTTGCACATATGGGTATCTAAGACCGTACTGAAGAAACAATTCATCGGGAGCCAAGTTTCTATCTTTGCGAAGTGAAATCGTGAAATGGAGATTGCGTATGGAAGGTTTGAAGATCTCCAGTTAAGATAGGAAAGATAAAAAGGGGAAGGAAGACATACAGGGGGAGCAGATTTGCATTCGAGAAGTTGAAGTTGCCTTTGACGAGTTCTCCGTCCCTTCTCGCCTTCTTATTCCACGCAACGATGAAGATGAGCGAACAGGAAGTGGAGACGGAGTTCTCCGTCCCTTCTCTACGGCGACGGAGTTGGCTACGTTTCGGATTTCGACTTCTCCCCCTGGGCCTGGGAATCGTACGCGGACAAGGTGGGGGCCAAGGACGCCGAGATTCTGAGGCTGAGTGCCGACGTGGCGGCCAAGGACGAGGAGATCCGGGTCCTGAATTCCCACCCATGTGGCGGATAAGGACGTCCAGATTGCAGGCCTCGAGGGCCAGGTGGCTGCCAAGGACGCAGAGATACGGGTTCTGAATTCCCAGATGGTTGCCAAGGATGCGGAGATAGAGAGCCTAGGACGCCAGCTGGCCGACAGGGAAGGTCGGATCATTCAGCTACGAGCCCAGGTGGCTGCCTGGGTGTCGTACGATGAGGAGAAGAGGGCCAGGCTGGAGGCCGAGATGCTGACTCTGCACTCCACGGTGGCTTCCGCGTGGGACTCTTTCGAAGGGAACGTCAGCAAGGCCCGCCCGTAAATAAAAATAATGATGATAACAATGCCACAAGCGATACTTTCTGATACTGTATTTGAAGCAGTTGTTCGAATTCCTTATGATATGCAAGTGAAACAAGTTCTTGCTAATGGTGAAAAGGGAGCTTTGAATGTAGGGGTTGTTCTTATTTTACCCGAAGGATTTGAATTAGCCCCCCTGATCGTATTTCGTCAGAGATGAAAGAAAAGATAGGGAATCTGTCTTTTCAAAGTTATCGTCCCAATAAAAAAAATATTCTTGTGATAGGCCCTGTCTATTATGTAAATATTGATATATGGATGACCAATGACCTACCACATTAGATGCTCACTTGGGAGTTACATGTAACCCCTGTTTCTACATTATTATCTATCATTCATATGCATTGATATAAGGATGTAGTGGTTACCAAAGTGTGCATATAAATATAGCACACCATTGTATCAAAAGTGAAGGATGAATAAGCATGCTCACTTCCCCCTATCTTCTTTGTGTCTTTCCCTCTCTAATATTCTCTTGTAGTTGTTTATTTTACAGTAGTTTCATAACACGTTATCAGCACGAAGCTCTGATAGCATCATAGTTGGTCATTGTCTCTCTACACAATCTAGTATATTGGAGTAAGATCACAATATGATCAAGGTATGCAAAATCTTTGTCTTCTTTCATATCTTATTGTCTTATTTGTGTTGAGATTATCTCATTCTAATATATCAAGATGGGTGCTACTTCTCATATCCATTGATATTTTATCACGTCGATCTATTTGGATTAACAAGAAAAGTAATATAAGTGATGATGAGTTAATTTTTCAATTCTCCGTGTTATCCTGTTCTTATCAATCCCACATTGATATGTAGAAAATGCAAGTTCCAAGAGCCCATATATTCCCCAGAAGTGGAAATTGAAGAATCCAAGGGCAAAGAAAGAAGTGGACATGGTAACAAAAAGATTGGTTTTGTATGTTACCAATGTAATGGAAAATTGCATTTGTCTCGTACCCGTTGTACGCAAAATACCTTATTCTACAAAAAATCAAAGGGAAAAACTAATTCATATACGCTCCTGCAATATCAATATTATGGAACATATTATTTGTATTATAAGTTGGTATATTCTCCATTAAAGATGAAAATGATATTGCACTTGAGACATTTTCATTCCCAGAAGTGAATGAAACAATCAATTCCCCAAAGTGAATGAAACTATAAACATAATTATATATATATATATATATATGGTGACTACTTCGGTGCACTCACAAAAATGAGTGCACTCAATGCACCCAACTCAAAAACTAGTATTAAGGTGTCGGATTTTGAATTTTAATTTGTAGAATTAGTGTAAAATGATGATATAACAAATGATAACAACTAATTACTGGATTACCCTAAGCCCTAGACCTCCAATTTTGAGTTCTATCCCTAAACCCCAAACTGTAAACCCTAACCCTAACCCTAAATCTCTAAACTCTAAATTCTTCAAATTAAAGTAAATCTACAATGATTTTTGTGCAAATTCATGTGCGTTATTGTTCATCACATCATAAGTGATGAATGACATAATTTTGACATAAATCACATGTTTAAAATGACGATTATGAAGTGAGTGCACTGAATGCACCCAAAAAAATGAGTGCACCGAAGACGCCACCATATATATATATGTATGGTAAATGTATTGTTTGGATCTTTTCACCAGAAGTGAGAAAAGAGGAGAAAAAGGAGAATTATAAATAAGTATGACACAACAATTATATTATCAAAGTCATGATAATATAATGTACCTATTGTACATTGAAATGCATAATGGAACGCATATATAAATTTAAAATCACCTAGTTAGTGATGATATTGTTCCAAATAAAGCTTATTTAAATTTTCACAGTTGTAGTATTATGATTCTTGTTTTCTATTATGTTTCATTCTGTAATTATTTTCATGCATAATTTAACTTGATAACTTTTATCTAGAACGATTAACTTGATAAGTTCGTCATTTTTGTCTTAAGTTTGATATTCTCATTTATTATTTTAGTGTGTTTTTGTAAAGTGTGATTGTTAGAAAAATTCCATATAAACTATATGGTAGAGTACATAAATGAGAAAAAGTTTCTGAAAAGCTTATGTTTGGTTACTTGATTAACTAAATTATGTACTCGTGATAATAATTTGTGATGATATTCACTATAAATATGTGTTTACTAAGAATGCATCAAATCATAAGTCTCCGGAAGGGCGAAATATGGTACAAAATATGGTAACACTCTAAAAGAGCTAATGTTTTGTGGCCTGAAGGACCCAAAACTACCTAGTGATGATGCATCACCCAATTAAAAGGATATTCGTAAAATGAATATCTTATCAAGAAAAGTGTGAAACTAATATTTGCATCACAAATATGTACTACATGTATATTAGTACAATCCGTACACATAAAAGTGTAAACCAGAAGTTTACAAGATTTGATAACTTGATAATTGGTTGGTCCGGTTAGACCATCCCGGATCTTGATGTGAAAAAAGTTATTTGAGAATTCATGAGAACATCATATGAGAAGTCAAAGAACTCTTCAACTAACAGAGTTATTATGCCATGTTTGTTCTCAAGGAGAATAGAACAATTGATCAGAGCTTGTATAAGAGTTGGCAAATCTCTTCAGATTTTATATGATCACTTTTATTTTATCTAATCGCAACCCGATGTTTGTGAGATTGATTGCCTCACTATGGATACATTTTTATGATTATCCAATCAAACATCACTTTGCTTAAGAGAACAAACTAAGCCTTCTGATCTCTTGTCGAGGACATGCTAGCTGGCAAGTGATAGTATTGATTCACATCTAACCAACAAGTTATCATAAGTCCCCCCCTTTTACAAATGGTTTTGGTCAGAAACCTAACATTTCTCATATGGGAATATCAGGGTGTGCCGCATACATCCCAATTGCTCCACCACAGTATCTTAAGTTGATTCTCGTTGGAAATTGAGAATTTGTGTTGGGTATGAATCCCAAATGAGAATTTTTTTGCGAAATTAATGTTTTGATGAATAACTTTTCCAACATTAAGGGGGAGAGAAAAAAAAAACAGCTAGACAAAGAGATGAGTTGGAATGAGTTATCAATATCTAGTTTTGATCCTCAAAGTAAGAAACATGAACCTGAAGTTCATAAGATGAATTATCGTTACCAACTATCAAATGCCTTTACTGGCCATATGAAGTGACCAAGTCACATATACTAGCTGTGAATGCTCCAACTAAATTTGACATCCTTGTTGGATACTCTAATATAAAAAATGTGTATGAAAGAGCGCATGAAGCGTGATAGACCAATCGGTTCCAATGATAAACATCCTCGAGAAAGAAAAGGAGCTGTAATTAGAATGGTCAACTCGAGGACATGAAAACTCAAGAAGAGTAACCAAGAATTAAGTATAATTTTAGTTCCAGAAGAACACATGTCTCTGAAAGTTGTGAAAGGGAAGAGATCTCAAAAATATATTAGACTACAATACTGGAGCCGAAATGAAGTCATTGTCGACGAAATTTGTTTGTTGTACTTCAGTACTGAATATGATATATACAAGTGAGGATCAAGAGTAAAACTCTATTGATGCATGCAAATGATGATGTTATTGGCCAATATAGAAAGAAATCATGGAACTTGCTCAATGAGCATAAAGTTTAAGGACCAGAAGTCCTTGCACCTAAAAAAGGGCAAAACTAGCGGGATACAAACAAATTTTTGTGCTACTGGAAAGTATGAAATTGTGCGAGATATCGCACAATGTTTTGCAATGGGTTTCTCAAAAAGACCTATCATTGTTTAAGAGGAGTTATACTCCCCTATGGTGGGTGCAACTACTTTTTCAAATCAATGTTTGAAAATTGTTGTGATAGCCTATTTGTTTGAATTCCCCGAAGATGTTAAATATATTTGAAACTCCCAGAAGGATTAATTACTCCTAGAAGGATTAATTTACCTGAAGTAAACAAGTAAAATTCTCGAGAACATATAATGATAGGCTAAGAATATCCCCTGTATGGGTTGAGAAAATATAGACGAATGTGAAATACTCATCTAAGTGAACACCTACAACAGTGGGTGAATGGACCTTAAAAGGTTAAATCCGGATAGAGTGCATTATAGCATTTGCATTGTGCATATATAATTGTGTTGTTTGTATGTGCTTCAAGGATTTTAAAATCTTGGTTTATGAGTTGTGTTTTACTTTAAAGTATGAGTCGTGTTTTATGACTGTGCTTTGTCTAGTTCATATGTGTTCTATGATGTGAGTTTTATTATTATCTTTCGTGATATAAAAGAATTGCTTGCATCAATTTGTGTTAGTTAAGTTTTTTTTTTGTGATGATCTCATATTATGTTGATGATATGACTATTATTGGAGCTCCTGAAGAGCTTCCTAAAGCAGTTGATTGCTAGAGACATAAGTTAAATTGAAGGATTTAAGATCCTTTTTATGGGCAAGGAGGCTAATGTTGAAAAAGTGGAAAAGTAATTTTGCGTGAACAAATTATGTTCATCAAATAACATTAGGATCCTAAGATCATTAGAAGTGACCAAAGATCCATTTAGGCATCAAGAAAGAAGCGAAACATTAGGTCCTGAAGTACTCTATGTTGATGTACTAGGTCCTGAAGTACCATATGTTGATGCATCAGAACACCAATGCATCTTGCTAGCCAAGCACCATATAAACTATCATTTTGGTGTTGATAATATTAGCAAAATACAATGTTTCCCTCAATGGAACGTTGGAAATACTTTGTTACCTCCGGGAACAATATATGCGATTGTTCTACTATGGTATTATCAAAGAGAGATTTGGTAAACTATATATCCAAATCCTATATATCATTTGATCCTCATATTGGTTGATCGGAGACGAGCTATCTCTTACATATGGTGATATAAATGTTTCATAAAGAAACAAAACAAACTATAATGGGCAAGTCTCGAATGGCTTTCGTTGCACTTTAATTTGTGATCCACCATATCTCAAGTACTTGTGGTTGTGAACTATTTTCAAATGAAATGATCCTGATGATCATGTATGAAGAAAATCTAAAGATCATGCATCAAATTGACAATCTAGAAGATTGTTCACTAACTCACTCCCGACAACAATCTTTCTAAAAGTTGTTCGTGAAATTTGAGTTCAATGACTCAATAATCTGAAGTGATGTGGTCATGAGGGGGAGCATATACGCACTGCACTCTTTTTCCCTTAACCATGGTTTTTTCCCAATGGGTTTTCCTGGTAAGGTTTTTAATGAGGCAATATGATATAGCGTAATGCAATCTAGTGGTCATCCAAGGGGGAGTATTATGTAAATATTGATATATGGATGACCAATGACCTACCACATTAGATGCTCACTTGGGAGTTACATGTAACCCCTATTTCTACATTATTATCTCTCATTCATATGCATTGATATAAGGATGTAGTGGTTACCAAAGTGTGCCTATAAATATAGCACACCATTGTATCAAAGTGAAGGATGAATAAGAAAGCTCACTTCCCCCTATCTTCTTTGTGTCTTTCCCTCTCTAATATTCTCTTGTAGTTGTTTATTTTACAGTAGTTTCATAACACTGTCTGTATTGTCTAGCTCATTTCGTGTTTCTCGTGGGTTTCAACAAATAAAAAATAGTCTATAAACAAAAACATTTAGTATTTTTTTTACTAATCTGACGTGCCCGACATGTGACACAGTGATTCGGAAAAGCATGTGATAAACCCCCAAGAAAGGGTTTTTAGATCAAAGTCACGCAGCCAAGAGGTCTGGAACCTCAGATTGTCTTCCTCGAACAATAACTCACAAAAACAGGGTCGGTTTTGTGGGTGGGATGGATAGTTTCGTGCAACTTTCACCAGGGGAAAGAGGCTCGAAAATCTTAGTTCGCTGCTTGGCCACGATCAGGGTGATGAACTTATCGATACAAGCGCACGATTGCTTAGAATCCTCCAAGCAATCCAACTCAACTCCTCACGCAAACTTGCGAGATGAATCAAAGCTCAATTTTGTATTCAATGAACAAAAACTAACTATTACAACAAATCAACTCCACTTAAATAGACCTAGCAATTCCTAACAACGTTTAAAGAAGTTCAATCACAATTCTACTTAGAAAAGGAAGCAAAACTCTACGTGGAAACCAATTAAACTAAAACTGTCTGCTAATCCTAATCCGACTAGGATTCGGATTACTTAATCTTCCAGGCAGAAGTTTCAGTCTCGAAGCGATCTTTAGCCCCCTCGTTCGAGTCCTTCTAGACATCACCTTGATCAACCAGTACCTTGTCGATAAACTGGAAGAAACCAACTTTCATGTGGTGTGAATTTGGAGGCTCGACTCTTTCCCATCTTCCACAACTCGAGCTTCAAAGATCCCTTCCCAACTCTGCTTCCATACTTAGACAAATCTGGCAGTTTCTCCAGTGTTGAGCTAGCATATTGATCACCTCGAAAGCTCAGCTTCTAGACTTCCCCTTGAGCTCCAAAGCATACCAATTGAAAGAGCAACTCCTCTTCTTCAACACAAGCCAAATAACTCGAATTTCTATCACACCAATTGAGAGTTATGCTTGTCCAAAGTGGGTACCTGAAATCATCATAAACACTTAGGCAAAAATCAGTATTTTCTAACGTGTCTAGCTTACCTTCCTGATCGATCAATTCCAGTCGTTTTAATGGCCAAATTGAGATCATATCAGCATGGGAGGTAAAGTGACATCCACCTTAACTTGATATTAATATTTCTTACAACACATTTAAATCAGGGTAAATTGCAAGTTTGGTCACTGGAATTACATAAAAATTTCACGTTTGCCACTAAAATTAATTTATTCCATCCGTAGTCACTTAAATTAGTTCAACAATTCAAGTTTGGTCACTCTCCGTTAGTCTCCGTTAAGTTTTGCTGACGTGGCAATCAACTATAATAGTTGACTGTTAAATGAGTGACGTGGCAATTAAAAAATAAAAAATACATATTTTAGTTTGCCACATAATCATTATCAAAATTATTAAAAATAAAAAATAAACCTAATTATCTAATTGCTCAGAGGGAGGACGGCTTTATTCTGGTCTAGGTTCCGCCTTCAGACGCCCGAAGCTCAGGTGATGAGAATGAAATTTTTCGTGAAACCTTCTTCGGTTCGTGGCTTCTCGGGGGATCTTTTGTTAATTGAGTTTATTATGGATACACAGAGGGTTGTACTGGCTGAGTTCCAACTTCCTTGCAAGGCAGTCACTGCTGCAGAGTTTGAGGTGATTTTGCTTTTTCTCTCGCGTTTGAATTCAGGTTTCAGCAGAGAGCTAAATCGATTTCCTAAATTTGAATATGGAATCATGTGTTCCGGTTCGGAGCCTCACCATCACTCCTAGCTAGGGATGGCAATCAAACCCATGCCCACGGGTATCCGACCGCCCCCGACCCAGTCAACGCGGGGAATCCCCGCATTGACCGGGTATGGGGCGGGTATGGGTAAAACCCGCAAAAAGTTTGATGGGTATGGGGCGGGTATGGTTTTAGCTTCCTCCGCCCCATACCCATACCCATACCCGCCCCACCAAAAATATTTCTTCACATATGAAAAATATGTGAATCGATTTGTAACCTATCAATAATAGTGAGTATAACTCAATAAAAATATATAGTAGAAATGCAATTAAGTGGCCACCCAAATCAAAATCTAATTTATTTGTCTCAATTTTCCCTTCACTCTTTCACTTTTTTCCCTTGTTAACAAGATTATGTTAGTTAATTATTACTTAATAGATGTATCACAGTAGAGAATAATTATTTGAATGCCATTGTACTCTACTCTGATATGAATTAATGGACGCTTTAGGATAAGATGCTTTGAATCGTATTAAAAATGATTGTCTCTTTGTAAACTTCATGATATAGTAGGTGAGTTTAGTGTTATAATTGGTGAGTTTAGTGTTATAATTGAAAGTCTACATGTAAAATATTTCGTATTATAATGTTGGATGTACGGGGCGGGTATTACCCATGGGTACCCGAAACCCATGGGTATGGGAATGGGTTTGCAAAAACTTCCCCCGCATGGGTATGGGGCGGGTATGGGTATAGATATTTGAAAGCGGGGATGGGGATAGTTTAGGCAAACCCGCCCCAAACCCGCCCATTGCCATCCCTACTCCTAGCTCTCCCCCCTACCTCTCTCCGATCACTCCCAGTTGTAACCCACCGTCGTCTTCAACCTTACTTCGGCAGCAACGCAAGCTTCATACCGTTTCCGTTGAGGGTGATCAATTTTGCTCGACAACGATGATTGGTGGGGAGTCGGATTCTGGGACGGTGAGATTTTGGAGAGGGGATGAGAGTATTAGAACACGTTTGCCCCAAGTGGGAATAGATTCCGCTGGAGTTCTTCCATTTTTGTCACAGCCGACCATCAAAAACTTCGAGATCCACCTCCTCGCCTCACGGCGGACACTCCAACTCCGCCTTGAAAGCTTTATTCTGCAGCCTCATCATGTTCTTATGCTGAAACGGGACCAACCCAGAGACGAGAACAAAGAAAATAACGACGCACTATCACAGATCTGTCGCAGCACCGTCAAACCCCTTTTTGCGGATCGAGCACCTCGCCGCCCGATCTTCAAGAAATTCTTTCTCCTCTGTAATTGCCCCACTGGGCAGTGGAAAAACCCTATCGAAATTGGATCCGCCAACGCAACGACGACGGCTGAGTGAAGAAGAAGCTTGGAGATACCGGCAGCAGGGAAGCCGGTATGGGTAACAATATCCCGGGCTGTCCGCGACATCGCGCCGGGGTCGTCGTTGAAAGGATTGGAGAAGTAGACCGCGGTGGAGTTAGTGGTGGTGGCAGAGAAAGAGCCGGCAAGGCGTTGAAACTTGAAAAGGTGGAACCACTTCCGTAAGTCCTCCTTGTGAGCAATTAGGTAATTAGCTTTTATTTTTATTTTTTAATTTTGATAATGAGATGGAAAAGTAAATATTAATTTTTATTTGTTTTTAATTGTCACGTCACTTATTTAACGGTCAACTATTAGAGTTGACTGCCACGTCAGCAAAACTTAACGGAGACTAACGGAGAGTGACCAAACTTGAACTGTTGAACTAATTTAAGTGACTACGGATGGAATAAATTAATTTTAGTGGCAAACGTGAAATTTTTATGTAATTCCAGTGACCAAACTTGCAATTTACCCTAATGTTTATAAAGAAAATGGATAGATTTGTCCATTGAATATCATAAATATGGTTATATTTGTCATTATTAAAAAAAAAAATTTGTCTCAGAAGTCAAAGTTTTGGTCATGCATATATTATTTGCCTTTAGTTTATTTTCGTTTTTTTAATATGTCCAATAACAACTTTCTTTTCCCTTTGACCTCCATCTTCTTTTCTATTTCCATAAAAAGAAATTATACAAACTTCATTTTTGTGTGAGATATTATACTAATTACTATTAAATCAAAATTCAAAACAAAAGTAAAGATATCCGTGAGACCATTTTGTAAAGGAGATGAGAAATTATTGAAAATGAAAAAGGAAAAAATGACTAATGTGAACAAAGTTAGAATAACAAAACAAAGTTGGTATAAGTTGGGCAATTGGTATTTTGAATTTGTCAAATCTCATATGTTAATGTTAATTTTCCCCAATTGATAGAGCCAACAAGACACAATTGTTTTTTCATCCATTGGTTCATAGATTTGGTATACATTTTTAGGGCCTCCAAAATACTGAAATTGGCCGGATAAATCAAATATGTATTAGATTCGTCAAACACAACACACAAATTCATGATCGAGATGCCCCATGTGTTTATTTTTAAATATTATATTGGATTTTTCCTTACTTCAAATTTTAAATCAGGTGATTGTATGTTTGATGCATGAATGCTTTATTGAATGAAAAGTCTAAACTAACACTTACAAAATTCGACATTTTACTATTACAATAACCTTGAAATATCATCATATGTAAATGTCAGTTTTTAGCAACCACAACTATTTTTGGAGATATATATTAGTTATCAACGAATTAGCATTTGATAATTTATACTTTCTTAATTATTAGAATTTTAGATGATTTTAATAAAAAAAGTTCAAACCCATTATGTGGTGATTTTTATCATCCTATATTATCAATCGGCAAATTCCTTGGAGTTCCAAATTACTCCTTTAGAGTATAATTGTCTTAGTTCATTTAGAACTAATAGAAAATGAAGTTAATAGTATCGAGTCTTATTGAGAGACCTTTTTCGCAAATTATGATGACAGTCAAAAGTAGGGAAAAATTCTTCTAAAATATGAAGAATATATAAACAACAATAAGTTAGGATAACTTGATCAACAAAAATACATTTGAGTTAATGATTATATATGGCAAAATATACTTTCATAGCCATAACTATTCGTGTTGTGACAATAATAGCCACTTTTTGAAAAATGCACAGATATAGCCACTTTTTCAAACGTGGTTGACAACTTTAGCCATTTTTGTTACAAACTTTAACGTCGTTATGACGCCGTTATTAACCTCCACGTGTCGCTGAGGTGGATGCTATATAGACGACACATCATCGCCAACTAGACGTCTTTGTGCCACCTAGATGCCATGTCATATAAAAAGTATTTTAACAAAAAATCATTAATTTTACAAAAGAAATCAAATAAACAAAATTAGAAAGAAAGAAATAGTTTATTTTATTTTTTATTTATCTCTCTATTCTTTGATTCCTTCCCCAAATCCCTTTCCCACCAGGAAAAGTTAATCCGCTAACTTGAAGATTCGTTAGCAGATACTAACTGATATTCAAAATACATGAACTAGTATCCAAGTACTAAAGTATCTAGAGAGCACAGACTAGTATTCAAAGTTTGCTAACTGATATCCACCATGAATCAACTATAATCCCAAATTCACAAACTAATATCTAGACAACACAAAATAGTATCGATATAGCACATAATTAGTATCCAGATAACACATAAGAGTATCCAGATAACATATAAGAGTATACATATTGAATATTAGTTGGTTGTTTGTGGATATTAGTTGGTATCTGCTATTTGGATACTAGTTTGTGATGTTTTGAATACTAGTCTGTGCTATCTAGATACTCAGCAGACTTGGATATTAGTTCATACATTTTGGATATTAGTTAGTATACTAACGAATCTTCTAGTTAGCAGAATAACTAGGCTGCTTCCCACAAGCGCTGCTTGTCTTCTGCCTTCAACCTTCTTCAGCAGATCCAAAATCATAACTCCTCTCTTTCCCCATCAATTAATCGATTCCGCCATGATGGGGGCGATGCATCTCCACTGCATCATAAACCGAATACAAATGAGTGGGTGGCAGAGACAAAGCTGAAAGGCACCGACGAATCGATTTGGAGCTGCTGTGAGAGAGGTAAGGAAGAGAGAATCAACATATCCAAAATGAACGACAACATCTCCATTTTGGTGGAGAAATCTGGCCATCTGGATACGGGTTATGATTAATTAGACGATCCAAGGAAAATTTGGGTAATGATAGATTCAATGATGGATGATGACGATGAATGGCGGGGAATGCCGGAGGGGGAAAGGGAGGTTCTAGGCATTGTCGAGCTCCATCTACGCCATCAACGGAGGTGGTTGTGAACCTCCTGAAGATGGAGGTGAACTAGAGCCGCCGACCCCAGTGGCGACACCGATAGCAAAGCAAGAGCCTGCGTTGACGAGTCTATGGAGGGAGTTTGCCGCCAGATCGGATCTGGTGAAGGACACTGCAAGGATTGTGGAGGAGAGGAAGTCGGATAGTCATGTGTGTGGGTTAGTCATGCTTCTGGTAAGCAAGGGAGTGGGTGGGCACGGCGGGAGGATTGGCGGCGGCGTTTTGTCACTGGGGATGGTGGGTTGACATGGTCAGTGACGGAGCTGGTGGGTACGGCAGGAGGATTGGCGGAGGCCGTGGAAACTCGTCGTCGATCTAGAGTGAAGGTGGAGGGGTTTCACCGAGAAGAAGGAGAGAAACGAAAGGGTAAAAGTCAATCGAAATGGTCGATTAATTGGTAAAGTTATATTTGACCATTTTTTTAATTAATAAATTAAAAAACATAATAATCTCTTCTCTCTCTTCCCTCTCTCTCTTCTCTGAGCGCTCGCAAATTCGGATCAATGGTCGTCGTCGCCGACAGATCCTGGGCTTCTCTGTTTCACGTTGCTGAAGAGAATCGATTGGAGTATTACGAGCTAGAATTCGTCAATGGATCTCTACGAATCCCTAAGTTGGTGATTGAGGAAGGAGCAAAGCATTGGGATAACAGTTTGGTTGGGCAATTCCTGGTTGATCCTCCTTCAATCTCGGCGCTCCGCTTCTGGGCTAACTGGATTTGGGGTAAGGAAGGTGAAGTGAAGGTCTCTATGCTGGAGGACAGGCTTGTGCTCTTTCAATTTCCTTCGGAATCGACCTGTCGATGGGTATTCGAAGGCGGCCCATGGCACTATAAGGAGAAGATCATCTGCTTAAGGCGTTGGGTTCCGGGAATAAGAGCATTGGAGATTAATAACTCGGCCATACCAGTGTGGGTCAATCTAACAGGTATTCCTGCTGAGCTAGCTTTACGAGAGGGTCTAGGGAGAATCGCGAGTTCTATTGGTAAACCTATGTGTATGGATCATTCAATATCCCATAGGAGGAAGATAGGTGCAGTGAAGGTGTGTGTTGAGGTGAGTGCTAAGAAGCCTTTGGTGAACAGGATTAGTATTACCCCTGATGATATGGAAGAGATGTATATTGGGGTTGAGTATTGTGGTTTGCCTCGTTGTTGCTCGGCCTGTGGTGTCTTTGGACATGATTGTTCGATGCCTCCTCTGGGAGCCTCAACCAAGAGAGTTTCGAGACCGAAGAAGCTGCAGGTTACATCAATACAAGAGGGTAATGAGGTTTCTAATCAGGCAGTTGGGGAGAAGGAACCAGTGAAGGAAGGGATGATTATTGAGAATGCTGGGGAGGGAGTATCCGAGAAGGGTAAGGAAGTAATAGTTGATTCCACTCCTCCAGTCACACCGAGTGCTCTTCCCTCACAGAAGGAGTTTAACAAAGTCATAAATGGAGCAAAATCGAGGTCTATTCCCAGGAATTCTGCACCCGTCTTGCACTCTAATGCATTTGAACTGCTTTGTGGGAGAAACATCAAATTACAGGCTCCTCAGAAGAAACCAGGGGGGCGTGAGGGGCTTAGGAGTAAGGGAGCCACTAAGGTGGCTGCTACTCATAGATGACAACCCTCATATGGAATACAAGGGGCTTTAACAGTCCCCTGAAGCACACTGTTGTGCTTAGATACATTAGAATTCATAAGGTTTCACTTTTTGCTCTTCTTGAAACCAGAGTACAAAAACAGGACAGTATAGATACAATAAGGGAGAAATTTGTAGGGTTCCAATTCACGGATAACTACTCAAAAAGAAGGTTAGGGAGGATGTGGATTGGATGGAATGATGATGTGAAGGTACAAGTGATGAAGGAAGAGGAAAATTTCATTCACTGCCTAGTTGCAGGGCAGAAGGGGACACAGTTCTTCTTTACTGCAGTATATGGTTCAAATGAGGAGAAGGATAGATTGTTGACTTATAAAGCTATGAGCTAGTGGAAGGTAAAAGGGTTTCCCTGGATGATTGGTGGGGACTTTAATGCTATTCTTTGCCCTGCTGAAGCATCAAATTCAGTCTCTATCAACACAAGTATGACAGATTTTAGAGAGTGGATTGATCAGATGGAAGTATTTGATCATAAGGCAACATGGCCTGTCTTCACCTGGGCCAATCATCAACAACTCAACCCCATTGCCAGAAAGCTTGACAGACTAATGGTGAATGAGGACTGGTTTGAACACTTCTCAGACTGTGTGGTGGAGTTCATCCCTCCTGATTTCTCTGACCACTGTGGGATTATGATCACACCCCATGTCCCAACCAAGAGCTTCCCCAAGCCTTTTCGGTTTTATGACATGTGGCTTGATCATCCTTCTTTCTCGGATATTCTGCATAACTGTTGGCAAGATCCATCTCATTCAGGTCTATTTGGTGTTAGGAAGAAGTTGGTTTCTCTCAAGGCTGAGTTGAGGAAGCTAAATAAAGAGAAATACTCAGACATATCTAAAAGAGTCAAGGAAAAAGAGGGAGATCTCAAGGCTAAGCAAATGCAATCCCTTGAGCATCCTACAGAGGTCCTATTTGAAGAAGTTAATATTATCAGAAAAGAATATCTCCTCTTAGCCTCAGCTGAAGAGGCGTTTTACAAGCAAAAATCTCGTATCAGCTGGCTGGGGTTAGGTGACTCTAATTCTTCTCATTTCCACTCTTCTGTTAAAATCCGAACTGCTAAGAAGAAAATAAGGAAACTTATTGCATCCAGTGGGGAGGAAATAACAGAGGTCCAAGATATTGCAGATGAAGCTGTTGGTTTTTATAAAAACCTGTTTGGGGTGGTCAACTCAAAAGTGAAGGTGGATGACAACTTTCTGGAAGGCTGTATACGAAACAAGTTGTCTGCTGAAGACCAAAAGCTTTTATGTGACAAAGTCACCACTCAGGAAGTTAAATCAGCCCTGTTTGACATGAATCCATCCAAAGCTCCTGGGCCAGATGGATGGAACACTGCTTTCTTTCAACGTTGTTGGGGTGTGGTGGGGCCAGAAATCACTCAAGGGATTCAGTACTTCTTTGCTTCAGGGTAGCTTCCAAGAGGTATGAACTCAGCATCTCTAACACTTATCCCTAAGATACCTAATGCAGATAATCTCTCTGCCTATCGACCCATAGCCTGCATTAATGTTCTTTACAAAATAATCTCTAAAGTGATTGCCAACAGACTTAAAAAAGTACTGCCTTCTATAATTAGTAGGAATCAGTCTGCCTTTATCCAGAGGAGAAGCATTATTGAAAACATTCCCATGGCCCAGGAAGTAGTACAGAATTACAATAGAAAACATATATCATCTAGAGGGGCTGTGAAGGTTGACCTTAAAAAGGCTTTCAATTCAGTAAGCTGGGAGTTTTTGCTGTGTTGATGATGAAGATGGGGTTTCCTTCAGTGTTTTGTCAGTGGATTAGGACTTGTCTTTCATCAGCCTATTTTAGCATTACAATTCATGGGAGTCTCTTTGGTTTCTTTCAAGCTGCAAAAGGGGTGAGACAGGGGGATCCTATTTCCCCCTATCTCTTCACCATTGCCATGGAACCACTCTCGAGTATGTTGGATAGGGCTGCAGGAAATAATGAATTACCATTCCACCCTCAGTGTAAAAATATTGGTCTGACTCACCTTGTCTTCGCGGATGATCTTCTGATCTTCACAGAAGGATCAGCAATGGCCCTTAGTAGAGTTCGCCAAATTCTAGACGATTTTTATAATCTATCAGGACTTCAATGCAATGCAGAGAAATGCGAAGTTTTCTTTGGGGGACAGGCAAACCAGTTTAAGCAGAATGCTATAAGTGTATCAGGATTTAAAGAGGGTCACTTGCCTGTGCGCTACCTGGGACTTCCATTGATTGCTGGTAAACTGACCAGCACGGAATGCTCAATATTAGTTGACAAACTCACCATTCGTATTCGAGAATGGAGAGCTAACAAGTTGTCTTATGCAGGGAAACTCCAATTAATAGATTCTGTTTTGTACTCTATTATCAATTACTGGATGGCTATCTTCGTTTTTCCTAAGAAAATGATCAAGGCAATTCAGAAAGTTTGTGCAGACTTCTTGTGGCATGGAGATGGGACTGGTAGAGCAAAAGTGGCATGGGAAAAGCTGGCAATGCCCAAGCAGGAAGGAGGTTAGGTATGAAAGATTTAATAACTTGGAATGTGGCTTGTGTCTCAAGACTACTCTAGCTGATTCTCATTCAGGGTGGCAGTTTTTGGGTAGCCTGGGTTCACAAATACAGAATCAGAGGGGGATCTATTTGGCAAGTTACAAATAATTCGATTGGTTCTTGGATCTGGAGGCATTTGCTGAAGCTTAGATCCTGGGTACAGTTCATAATAGATGTTGATTCTTTGGGAAGAGTGACATTGCAGGGGAAGCAGATGAGCAAATTCTCAGTGTCCACCATTTGGCAGACCATTAGGCCTAAAAAACCAGTGGTTGATTGGTGGAAGGTTATCTGGAATAGGTTTGTTATACCAAAAAATAGAGTGTTGGCTTGGCTGATTATTTTGGATCGTATAGCTACTAAAGACAAGTTGAAACGATGGGGGACCTTACAGGATGAGCAGTGCATTCTGTGTAACACTGGTATAGAGACCCGTGAGCATCTCTTTTGTCAATGTAGTTATTCTGTTGAATTTGTGAATTGTCTTTTACAGCAGAGAGTCCGTCTGACTAGCAGATGGGAAGATATGTTGCAGCTGATGTGCAGAAGGGCAAGATCAGGAGGGGATAATGGCTGTGTGGAGGTTGTGTTTTGGTGTTGGTGTGTGGCCTCTATCTGGAAAGAGAGATGCAGAAGATGCTTTGGAGGGCAGGTTAAATCAGCTTCTCAGTTAGCAGAACAGCTGCGTGAAGAGATCAGCTTGTACTGCTGTGGGAAGCCAGATTTTGAGTCTAGGGTTAAGGGTTCAGATTACTCTAGTTGTCTTTGTTAACCTTTCTCAGTTTTCCTGTTTGTATTGGCTCTGACCAAACTGTATTTTTCGACTCTTAGCTGGGTTTTCAGCTACAGAGGAAGCTTAATGAAACTGCTAATTACCGGAAAATAAAAATAAAAAACATATTCTACCTTTGCCACGTAGACGAAATTTGGCCATATCATAAACATCCGTTTGTACAGTCAGCAGTCATGAGAAAACTGTTAAAGTTATGGACGGAACGACTATATCAATATATTTTTCAAAAAGTGACTATTATTGTCACAACGCGAATAATTATGGCTATAAAAGTATATTTTGTAATTATATATATACATATACCACTTCCTAACAAACGAAAATTGTCCTCGGGCAAAATCTAGTAATAAAAGCATTCCTTTTTCTGTGTGGAAAAGGCCTCTTGCGCTTCTTTGAAACTACCTCATCCTTTTCCGTTTCGGACTTCCTCAAATTCAGCTTCGAGCAATTCGATTCTCTTCCTATAAATAAGTAGCTCCGGGCAGAGACAGATTCTCACATCAACACCAACACCAACACCAACACCAATCAGTAGCTCTCGCTTTCTAATCGCTCGCGGTGCAGTAAAGAGATTCCCCGGAAAAAGCTAATCAAGAATTCCAGTCGCCGTAACAATGTCGACGGAGAAGAAACTGATCACTCTGAAGAGCAGCGACGGCGAGTCGTTCGAAGTGGAGGAAGCCGTGGCGATGCAGTCGCAAACAATCAAGCACATGATCGAGGACGACTGCGCGGGCGACGGCATCCCGATCCCCAACGTCACCGGCGGGATCCTGGCCAAGGTGATCGAGTTCTGCAACAAGCACCAGCACGCTGCTCAATCCGACGCCGATTTGAAGAAATGGGACGCGGAATTCGCCAATGTGGGACAGGACACGCTCTACGACCTGCTGCTGGCGGCGAACTACTTGAACGTCAAGGATCTGCTGGATTTGATCTGCTAGACTGTGGCCGACCTGATCAAGGGGAAGACGCCGGAGGAGATAAGGGAGTACTTCAATATCAAGAATGACTTCACGAAGGAGGAGGAAGAAGTTATTCGCAGGGAGAACCAATGGACGTTTGAGTGAAATTTTTCCCAACGAAATATCATATGCATTGTAGTAGTAGTAGTTTGATAGTCATTGTAGTAGTGAGTCAGCTTCGAGTTTGAATTTTGATGTTGATATAATTCTTTTTGTATGGATTCACAGGAGAATTGGTTGGTTTTTCTTTGTTTTCTAAGTGGGGGGTTTTCCTGGCTTGTGTTATACGGATAAGAAGAATTGTAAGCTTTCTGTTTGCAGTTTTTTGTTAGTAAAACAGTGGGATTAGTCACATTCGAAAAGTCTTACAGATATCATAATAAGAGGTCTTACAGGCTACAGCATTGTAAGTAACAGTGGGACTAGTCACATCCTTGACTGCACTTTTTTGTCTAAGCTAGCTTCAGTTGATCTCAAGGTCTTCAGCTTCTCTTTCACTTTGAAGATGACTTGGTGCACTTCATCAAAGTGAGGACTGGTAGCATCCTTTGTATACTCGATCCACTGTAGAACCTTCTTATGAGGGCTGAGAACTCGGTTTCGGTCAATGTCATCCATAACCTGAAATCTCAAACAGGAGAGAATTTTACACTAGGAAGTTTCGCATAATGCTTTCATTTCATCTACATACATTCTTTCATGAATAGCACAAGACTGAAACAAGTACCTCCAATTGCATTAGTTCGCATACGAGGCTGATATCTGCTATAGAAGGTTGATTCCCGCCGAGCAAGAATTTCCCACTGCCCTTGAGCCAGAAAGACTCCAACTTTGACAAGGATGCAGTTAAAATCTTCTCACCTTCTGCTGCTAGTTCTGGATTCAAGGGTCGTCCAAGTGCAGGCCCCAATGCCTTGTTTAGAACAAACATAACTGAAGAAGCATGATGTGTTAGATCAGAGATGCAATAATACTCCGCGAAACAGTTACACCTTCGCAAAGCGCATCAAAATCATTAAATTTCAAACAGATATGAAAATGAGCTTGAAACAAAGTCTACGCATGTAACTAGCAGCAACTCGGTGCCTAAAACTGCAATTTAGATGTAGTGGAGAGAATCGAATCCTGAACCCCGGAATCAGGGTCTAGGAAAGATTAATGCATGCAGCACCTGCTCCGCGGCGCAGGCTGGTGTGATGCCAGTCAAGCACTGATTGAATCTTAGCTCTCTTGAAAAGATCAGCTGGATACCTAGATGAACCAAAAATGGCCGCTTAGCTCGAGAACATATCTCCCAAACAGAACAATGCGTCCAGCAAGGAAATTATACAAAAGAGAATATGTACTAATTGCATCAATGACCTCTATTTCAAGAAGAAGTATTCAAATTATCTTGAGGTGTCAAGCCATAGAACACTAAGAAAAATGCGATCCATAAATGCATAAGAAGACACAACAACTGAAACTTACCAGTGATCAGCAACTCCAGGAAATACGCAAGCTAGATAGATGAGGATTGCGTGACTGTACAAGAAAATTAATAGGATCAACAAATTAACAACGGTAGAGCAAATGAAAGACAAAAGACATCAGGGCAGGCATCAGAACTCGTAAGGATCCGAAGCAAAAACATTACAGGATCATAGAAGAAATTTAGGACATTGATTACCTCTCAAATAGCTTGAATCTTCCATCAACTATAGCAGGCACTAGCTGCATAGGGTTTATCTCTGAAATCCCACCATTCGACAAAGACAGACAAACAGAAAAGGCATCATTAAGTTGGCCTCAACATCACTCTTCTAAACAGAGTTTCCCTCCAAGAAATCCCCTATCAAACCACTACACTGAAAAGAATTGCACCAAATCTCTTTAACAATTTCCATTTCAGGAATCCTTCTCAAGAAACCAAGCAAGCTCAAATCTTTCCTTCCAAACCTCAAACACCCAGAAACAAGGAGACTCCAAAGAGAACAAGATACCTGTAAATTCATGAGACAAATGCTGACGCTTAGACAAGTCTACTTTGATCTCCACAAAGTCAATCCGGTTCAGCCTGAAAATCCCCCAATCCAAAAACTCATAAACCACAGCTGGAAACTTCAAATCCATTGTCAAATTCAAGTAGAAAGTGAGAAAGATGGTTACTTGCAGAAGAGAACGACAGCCCTGGATGGCTGGGACATGCGATCCACATACACTTTGAGCGTCATCATCATCTTCTTCTTCTTCTTCTTCTTCTCTATATCCTTCTCCAAATTCTTGAAAGTTTATTCACAGATGGTATATGGCGATTTACGAGTTTCACTATTTAATTCGCTCTAAGTTCTAACCATTATTCACACCAGTGGGAGACCCTAATGTGGACATTTTTCTGTGTTCTGTAAACGTCAGATGCTAGCACTGTGTCAGACTGCCGGCGCTCTAAACCACTCTCCATTCATCATTAGTGACGTCACCTCGTTCGGTTCAGTTTGTTGGTACCTGTCTCAAACTTTACAAAATGGGCCTAGAAGCTTGAAGGCTCTGGGCTTGGCTTTGTTTAGCCTATTTGTTAACCGATGGATTTTGGCCTGCTCAATATGGGACGCCCTGATAAGCCCAGAAAATTTGGAGTGCATCCCTTTCAACCATTCAACCCGAGACTCATGGGTTGGGTGGTTAAAACAATGAAAACCGACCCACGTACCCCCTAATGACAGGTACACAATACAAAATTGCTAATTGGATTTAGAGAGAAGTCACAAGTAGGGGTGGGCAATGGGCGGGTCCAAACCGGACCACACCGGACCGAATCGATGTTTGAATCAAAACACACCGAATCGAATATAATATGATCTGGTCCTTGGTCCCGTGAATTTTATAAATACTGAAGAAAAATGGACCGAATTTACATTTGGACCGGACCAAAGAGGGCCAAACGGACCGAATGCACTATTGGTCCGTTCCTTGGTCCTAAATTATCTTTCACTATTGGATTGTGATTCTCTGAATTTGGTCTGATTAAATCCGGACCAGACCGATGCCCACCCCTAGTCAAGAGAGATCAATGATGAACAATAGCTAGAGTTGAGAGGGTTGATACTTTGTATGTTAGAAGTTAAAACCATCCTAATACGGTTTATGAAAATATTTCATTTTGATAAATTTTATTTAAATTTAAAAGGATTTACCACAATTATAAAGGGAGGATCACTTTTGTCATTATAAAAAATAAGGGCACACATATGTACCTATTTATAATTTTTAAAAAGTTTCAACTTTTTAGGTTCCAAAATATAATTTTACATCAATACTTTTAGGACTTATATGCAAAAATAATTGTAGGCACTAAATCTTAATATACATTAATTTTATGTACCAAATGGTAATTAGCATATGAAATCACAAGTTTCTTAAACCAGACCACAAGTTCCCTAAATCATATAACAAACCTCATAAAACTGATCATAAATTATTAAAATATACCACAAATTTCTTTAAACAGACCACAAGTTCTGTGAAGCATTTCAGAAAGGCAGAAACCTTATAAAACAGACCGCAAGTTCTTAAAGAAGACCACAAGTTAATTGAAGCAGACGAAAGAATTCATAAAGCATACCACACGTTCATTTAATCATACCGTAAACTTATTAAAACATCTTGAAGAATCAGAGTGAAAGGAAAAATTTGAGCTTTTATTGATTTCGAAAGATTACACACTGCATAAAGCAAGAACCCTAGCTAAGCCAAGAAGCTTGGCTCTTTGAAAAAGAAACACAACACTCAAACCCTCACTTCCCAAGAATCAATCACCCGGTTTACACACCCTATGATTGATCTACTGAAGTTAGATCAAGAAAGGACCCGTGACGAACAAAGCAGATTCCCCAATCTCACTTTCTCACGACAGTCACACCTCTAATGACACAATTGACTTCTATTTATAGACGCGATCACAAAGTGACCGTTTGAATAGCAGACCCGTTCCCTATATTGTAGTGGCCATCATTGCGAGGAGTAGAGGTGATGGTCGGCGACCTGGATTCTGGTGTGGGGAGCGGAGGTCTGAGAAATGAAAAGCTCGAGAAAGGAGGAACACTTGCGAAGGACGATACTTGGCTTGATGATGCGGCACCGTTCTGACCATGCAGGGAGCGATATATGGAGCGACACCATTTTGTTGAGTAGAAACCTTCAAGCCCCATGCAACAATTTCCCCCTTCGTCCGAGAAGTGTGAAGATTCCTGCAACAAAGAGAAAGAAACCCAGCAGAGAACGATTCCAAAAACAAACACAGTTGCATTTAATGAAACAGCATGGGTACAGTAGGAGCATCTGGGGGATTTGAGCTTTACAAAAGACTGGGAAGGATCTTCCCCCTAAGCAAAAGCACATAAACTACTAGAACTCAATCCCCCCTTAAAAAAAGCACTATCTTGAAGACAGGACAGGAGAAACAAAATATGCTCAACTACCTAACTAAAACATGAGAAAAGAAGATTAGGAGGGAGGAGCAGAAGCAGCAGAATCATCAGAGGAAGAGCTCCCTTCAGAAATAGTGAACACAAGGTCACCAGGTTTGCTGGCTTCACCAGCAGACTTTGCCTTCTTGACAGACGAAGGTTTAGGAGGGGGACCAAGAAGAGAGGATGAAGGACGAGGAGGAGGAGGAATGTCTGTTGGAAGATCAAGTACCATGAGCACATTGAGTGCACTAACAAACATGGTGGAGGAGACACTTCGGAATTCAGATAGATCAACACCTAGGTTTATTAGTAATTTGGTTATGATGGAGGCAAAAGGTAGGAGCCCCTTATAGTGTTCATCAGCCACATGGAGGAGCTGGCCGAACATAACACTTGCGAAATCAAGCTTTCGCCTTGTTGTTGCACTTGAGATAATCCACAGATCCATATGAAGAACTCGATCCTGGTTGAAGGACCGAGGGAAGAAGACATGAGCAAGGAAATAGTGAAAGATTCGCAGTCGAGGAGGTAACCAGGCTGCAGGGATTGGTACGTCAGATCCACCAGTTGGCTTGGTGGAGAAGTTGTTGTATTCTACTTCAATCTTGAATTCGTGCTTCCAGAATTCAGAAGGATGAGCTATTCCAAGCCCTTGAGAAGGAAACCCGAGTATGCCGTTGAGAGCATCGACTGGTACGGTCAGCAGGTGACCATAAACCAGTGTAGTAAAGCTCCTTGAGCTTATTCCCTGACTTTACAGATTCGAGAAGAAGTATTTCACAGCTCCGGGACATGCAGGGTGAAGGGGTTTTCTGAGGAGAAAATCCCACCCAAGTCCTTCGATAAGAGAAACAATGTCATACTTGTAGACATTGAATTCGTAAGGATCAAGCTGAGTAATGTGATGGATCCTCCTTTTGTCGAAATGTTGAAGATACCGATGATGATTCAGCACCCTTGGCTCATGGAACATATATCCAGAGAAGGTGTGAACCAGACCATCGAATCGAAAGGGGCGAGGAAGGCAATCACTCATGTTTGGAAATGCTTAAAAGCTTTCGAAGTTTTGGTTGGAGTTTTAGAGCTACTGGAATAGTGAGGAGGGTAAGACCAGGAGTACTCCTTATATAGGCAGAAAACGTCGGGTAAAGGAGAAGAGGAAGAGTCTCTCTTAGAATAAAGGGAAGGTAAAAGTGTAATGATAAGTTTGTAGCATGCATGGCGTTGTCTTGGAACAACGCAAGCATGAGCCGAAAAGAGAGGTTTATGAATTACCCGAGACACGCAAAATACCTAGAGCAAAAAGGGCCCAATGAGTCTTTAGTTTGTAAGATTTTTAATCTGAGTAGAAGATTTGAGCCCAATCTCTGTGCAAAGTTGGAGGAAACGTTCACTGGATAAGGGTTTTGTGAATAAATCAGCTAATTGTGACTCGGTAGAAACGAATTGTAAGCAAATATGGCCTGTTGTACTAGATCTCTAATGAAATGATATTTTATCTCAATGTGTTTTGTCCTAGAGTGTTCGACAGGGTTCTTTGTCATGCAAATTGCACTAGTGTTGTCACAACACACCTGAATATTGCTTAATTTAAAGCCATAATCTGAAAGTTGTGCTTTCATCCACATAATTTGAGCACAGCAGCTTGCAGCTGCCATATACTCAGCCTCTGCGGTTGAGAGTGCAACTTCACCCTGCTTTTTACTAAACCACGAGACTAAAGCAGGTCCTAGGAACTGTACAGGTCCTAGGAACTGTAGACTTCCTCCAAAATCTGAATCACTATAACCTATTAGTTCAAATGAATCAGAGATTGGATACCACAAACCCACATTTGTTGTTCCCTTGAGATATCTGAAAATTCGTTTTACTGCTTTGAGGTGACTTTCTTTAGGATTTGATTGAAATCTAGCAGACAATCCAACACTAAACTGAATATCTGGTCTACTAGCTGTTAAATAAAAAAGAGTGTTAGGATATGACTTGAATTTGATTTGAGTTTGTTTTGTGTTTGGGCCTATTTTGTTTGGGTTTGTGTTTGGGCTTTGTTTGACCTTTTTCCTTGTATGTTTGGGAAAAGGTGTTTGGTTTTCTGTTTGGGATTAGGAGAAGAGTTCTATAAATACTCTTCATCACCCTAGTCTGTAGAAAGGTCAGTCAGGTTAGTTTGTTTGATTTGTCCGTTTGGAATTTGGTTTGTAACCTGTACTCTCCTAAATTAGTGAAATTTGTCCCCCCTGCCCGTGGATTAGCTAGCACACATTGTGTTAGTGAACCACGTTAAATTTGTGTTTGTTCGTGTTGGTTTGGATTGTCGATTGCCACGCTTCTGTTCTGACAAGTGGTATCAGAGCCTTTGGTTGCGGTTTTGGGAATTTGGCGCTATACTGAAGTTTTGCTTTGTGGAGGTAGCTTTCAATTCTTCAGCTTGTGGTTTGGGGAGAATTCTGTTTGTTGCCCTTGGTGGTGATCAGGGTTTTCGATCACCAAGGATGTCTGTTCTGAATTTGAAGATCGAGAAGTCGATTTGGAGTTGCAGTCTTGGAGTTAGCAGTAAATTTGATGTTGGTGTTATGGACGGAAATAACACCAAGCTGGTTCTGCATGGCAAGTCCCAACATGGGTTGGACTTGTTGCATGTTTTGATTTGTTGACCGCCCTTAGGGGCATCTGGAGGCAGGGGAGATTCTGGTACAGCTGGTTTGGAGGAGTTTGGTATGTCTGGCAATCTTGATTGCATCTGAGTTTGGCAATTTGCATCGCGTTTCAGTTTGGAGATTTCGATCACATCTGGTACATCTGGCAACTTTGGTTGCGTTTGGGTACATCTGGCAACTTTGGTTGTGTCTGGTACATTTGGTATTTGAGAGAGAATTCAAGTCAAGGTGGAGATTGTTAGGATATGACTTGAATTTTATTTGAGTTTGTTTTGTGTTTGGGCCTATTTTGTTTGGGTTTGTGTTTGGGCTTTATTTGACCTTTTTCCTTGTATGTTTGGGAAAAGGTGTTTGGTTTTCTGTTTGGGATTAGGAGAAGAGTTCTATAAATACTCTTCATCACCGTAGTCTGTAGTAAGGTCAGTCATGTTAGTTTGTTTGATTTGTCCGTTTGGAATTTGGTTTGTAACCTGTACTCTCCTCAAATTAGTGAAATTTGTCCCCCCCCTGCCCGTGGATTAGCTAGCACACATTGTGTTAGTGAACCACGTTAAATTTGTGTTTGTTCGTGTTGGTTTGGATTGTCGATTGCCAGGCTTCTGTTCTGACAAAGAGAACCAATCATACCTCGGTATTTCTTTTCACAGACTACTGTTCCTCCTTCATCTTTGTCTAGCTTTAGGTTTGTGGCCATTGGAGTCAAACTTTCATTCACAGAGTTCATATCAAATTTCTTAAGCATAGCTTCAATGTAACTTGACTGATTAATGAAAATTCCAGATTTAGTTTGCTTAATTTGTAAGCCTAGAAAATGGGATAATTCTCCCATCATGCTCATTTCAAATTCTGATTTCATACTTTCAAAAAACTTTGTGCACATGGAGGGGTTTGTTGCACCAAACACTATGTCGTCAACATATATTTGCACTATTAGAGTATCTGAGTTTTCTCTTTTAATGAACAAGGTTTTGTCAACATTTCCTTGACAGAAACCTTCATTCTTCAAGAATGTGGACATTTTTTCATACCATGCTCTAGGTGCTTGTTTTAGTCCATATAAGGCCTTTGATAATTTGTACACATGGTCTGGATTTTTATGATCAATGAAGCCAGGTGGTTGACTAACATACACTTCTTCTTTTATCTCTCCATTTAAAAAGGCACTCTTTACATCCATCTGGTATAGAGGAATTTTCATATAACATGCATATGCACAGAGCATTCTAATGGATTCAATTCGTGCAACAGGTGCAAAAGATTCTTCAAAGTCAATTCCTTCTTCCTGTAGGTAACCTTGTGCTACTAGTCTGGCTTTGTTTTTAACTACTGCACCTTCTTCATCAGTTTTATTTCTGAAACCCCATTTTGTTCCTATGATTAAACAGTCCATTGGACGTGGAACAAGTTCCCACACATGCAATCTAGCAAATTGAAGTAATTCTTCTTGCATAGCATTCAACCATTCATCATCAGTGAGCGCTTCCTTATAATTTCTAGGTTCTAGTAGAGAGACAAGAGCATACTGACCTGGTTGATACTTACCTCTGGCGTGGATGCCATCCTTGAGTTGACCGATGATCTGAGATGGAGGATGTCGTTTTTGAATGTGTGCAGGAGCCTCCTTTTCTTCTTCTACTTCAGTCACCGGTTCACACTTGCTAGTATGATGTTCTTCAGAAGCTTCTATTCCTCCCAAGTTTGTTTCTTCTGTAGAAACAGGAAACATGAAATCTATGCTTTCGGCAGAACCCTTGTTAGTCCCCATAGTTTCATCAAATTTTACAAACACAAACTCCTCAACTCTTTTGGATCTATGATTATACACTCTATATGCTTGACCTTTGGTTGAATATCCAAGGAATGTAGCTTGATCTGACTTAGCATTGAATTTTGAGAGATGATCCTTTGTATTCAGGATGAAACATTTACAACCAAATGGATGAAAGTAACTTACATTTGGTGTCTTTTGCTTCAAGATTTCATATGGAGTCTTATTTATAGATTTTCGAATAAGTACCCTGTTGATTACATAAACTGCTGTCATTACAGCTTCTCCCCAGAACGTTTTAGGTGTCCCATATTCCAACAGCATTGTTCTAGTAGTTTCGATTATGGTTCTATTTTTTCTCTCTACTACACCATTTTGTTGTGGTGTTCTAGGTGTAGAAAATGTGTGGTTAATTCCTCTTTCATCACATAGCTCTTCAAACTGATATGATATAAATTCTCCTCCATTGTCACTTCGAATGGATTTGATTCCTATCTCAGACTCATTTAGTATACGATTTACAAACATCCTGAAGCAACTAAAAGCTTCATCTTTTGATGCAAGTAGATAGACCCATTTATACCTAGAGAAATCATCAACTAACACAAAACCATAGGATTTTCCTCCAAGACTAGTCACGTTAGTTGGTCCAAATAAATCCATATGAATGAGCTCATAAGGGGCAGAGGTACTAATGTCCTTTTTGGACTTGAAACTTTTCTTAGCTAACTTACCTCCGACACAAGCATCACAGAAGAACTTGGAATTTCCTTTTAAAGTAGGTATTCCCCTAGCAGACTTCATTTTGGACAGCTTGGACAGTTTGGGCAAGGACACGTGTCCTAATTTTCTATGCCAAAGCATTTCAGTATCACACATGCTGGCTTGAAAACATGTCTCATTAAAGGTTTTTAGACAATTCAGATTTACAACATACATATTGTTTTTCTTGGTTCCACTAAATAGCAGTTTATTATCTTTTATTCTGATGATTTGGCATGTTTCTGACTCAAATATTACTCTGTTTTCATTTGAACACAATTGACTGATCGAGAGAAGATTGTGTTTTAAGCCATTAACGAATAACACATCATTGATAGTGGGGAGAGGATTCTTACCAACAATTCCACTTCCCATTATTAATCCAACCCGATCATCTCCAAACACTACCTTACCCCCCTTTTTATATTTTAAAGAAGAAAACAATTCCTTTTTACCTGTCATGTGGTGGGAGCAACCACTGTCCAGAAACCAGATGTTCTCATTTTCTCCCAAACACTGCAATCAATCACAGGTTAGTACATTTTGGTACCCAAAATGTTTTGGATGTACCAGGTTTCCTCATATCTTGTAAATCATAACAGAATTTTGCCAAGTGGCCTCTTCTTTTGCAGTAAGTACATGTATAGATGATAGGGTTTTTCGGTTAGAAAAATATTTTTGAGAAGAACTGTTTGGAGTTTGTTTTGTTCTGAATATATTAGACTTCTGTAGACCTGATTTTGCTTTAAGTAGTTTATTTAGTTGCTGATTTTCATCTGTGAGTTCAAATATTAGCTTATTCAGCCTTCTATGTTCTTCATTTTGACACTTTATTGACTTATTTAGACTAAGTATATCCCTTTTTAATCCCTGATTGTCAGTCATGAGTAGACAGTACTTGCTCTTAAGTCTTTTACATTCTTCTTGTAAGTTTGTTAGAGCATTAAGAAAATCAGTTTTTTATTCTAAAACAGTGTCTTCATTATTGTTTTCATCTGATTCAGAATCAATGATTACATGATAGCATGAAGGTGTTAACTGATCATTGCTGCTTGAGGATTGATATATGTTCACTGTTGGTTGCAAACGCCATGTAGGCTAAGTCTTTTATCTCATGCTCCTCTTCCGAGCTGAGGTCACTCCAAGATGCAGCCAGTGCCTTCTCCTTAGCTTTGCTTCCTGTAGGACACTTTGATCTGATATGCCCTGTATTACCACACTTATAGCAAACAGTTAGATCTTTTTCATTGGAAGACCTGTGGTCTTCCTTATCAATTTTGAACCTTTCTCGACCATCAGAGGATCTATCATATGACCTCGGAGTGCTTTTATCTAGGTATGGTCTATATGATACATATCTTTCATTTGTTTTGGTAGGGATTCTCTCAATTTCTTCCCTGTCCTTTCTAGGTTCAGGGAACTGACTATTGAAATGTCTAGAATCATGATATGCTCTCTTTGCTTTGAAATCCTTTTTCATTTTAAGCATTCGATGAAAATTCCTACTTACAAGAGCAAATTCCTTTTCAAATTCCTCTCCCATATCTGCTTCAGAATCACTATCATATTCTTGAGCCTTAAATGCAATAACTTTCCTTCGTCTATGATCATCTTTATTCATTTGTATTATTACTTCTTCATGGCTAAGCAAAGATCCAACTAGCCTCTCAATAGATAATGTGTTCAAATCTTTAGCCTCCTCTATAGCAGTTCGCTTAGGTAACCATTCCCTGGGTAGACACCTGAAGATTTTGCGAACTAAATCCTTTGTTTCAAACAGTTTTCCTATACCTTTTAGTCTATTGATCATATCATTAAACCGTTTGTACATGCTAGATATTGATTCTCCTGAGCTCATTTCGAATGATTCATATTCATTTAACAGGGCATCAATTCTACTTTCTTTAACTTCAGACGTACCTTCATGGGTTGTTTGAAGAGACTCCCAAATCTCTCTGGCTGACTCACATTGCGCAACCTTGACTCCGTTCCTCAAGGCAAAGTGCTGAAAACAGTATGTGCATAGCTCGTGAATCGAGTTGAGATGATATCTTCTGTTCTTCTTTCCACTCTTCTTCATCTTCCTCATCCATAGGAATAGGTACTTTTCGTACAACCGTCCAAAGCTCCCCATCAACTCCGCGAAGATAGATCCTCATTCTCTTTTTCCAGACTGTGTAGTCTGTTCCATCGAACCATGGCGGATTCGTATTCGCAGAATAGGAGACTGCAGCTGACGAGGATCCTGACATTATGAACAGTACTCTTTGGCGATGATTAATCCTTCAAAGAGCAGGCTCTGATACCAATTGAAGAATCAGAGTGAAAGGAAACATTTGAGCTTTTATTGATTTCGAAAGATTACACACTGCATAAAGCAAGAACCCTAGCCAAGCCAAGAAGCTTGGCTCTTTGAAAAAGAAACACAACACTCAAACCCTCACTTCCCAAGAATCAATCACCCGGTTTACACACCCTATGATTGATCTACTGAAGTTAGATCAAGAAAGGACCCGTGACGAACAAAGCAGATTCCCCAATCTCACTTTCTCACGACAGTCACACCTCTAATGACACAATTGACTTCTATTTATAGACGCGATCACAAAGTGACTGTTTGAATAGCAGACCCGTTCCCTATATTGTAGTGGCCATCATTGCGAGGAGTAGAGATGATGATCGGCGACCTGGATTCTGGTGTGGGGAGCGGAGGTATGAGAAATGAAAAGCTCGAGAAAGGAGGAACACTTGCGAAGGACGATACTTGGCTTGATGATGCGGCACCGTTCTAACCATGCAGGGAGCGATATATGGAGCGACACCGTTGTGTTGAGTAGAAACCTTCAAGCCCCATGCAACACATCTCACAAAATTCTTAAAACAGACCACTAATTCGCTGAATCATATCATAAACCTCATAAATCATGCCACAAGTTTGTTAAAAATATGACAAGTCTCTTAAAGCATACTAGAACCCTCATAAACCATACCACAAGTTTATTAAAACATATCACAAGTTTGTTAAATCGTACAAGAAACCTCATAAAGTTGGTCCTATTTGTAAATTTTAAGAGTTTATGTGTCAAAATGTAAGACAAAATAATGTAAGCACAAAAATCTAATTTTCCATTCGGCAAAATACACTTCCATAGTCATAACTATTCGCGTTGAGATAATAACAACCACTTTTTGAAAAAAACAAAGATATAGTTATTCCATCTATAAACTTAACGGTTCTACACCATAACTGCTGACTGGACGACTGGACAAACAGTAGCTTGTGACGTGACCAGCTCTCGTCTAAGAGCATCTCCATCAATGGTATTTGCTCAATTGCATATTCTACATGGCACTCAATATGCAATTGCAAAGGGGATTGCATTGATGTAGTGCCCACTTGCAAAGATGCAAGCTTTCATTAAATGAAATTCAATATGCAATCAACATAGAAAAGTAATAAAATAATTATTCTCTCTCTCTCTTGATTTATTTATTTTTATTTTTTATAAAGTCACTCAAAATCTCATATGCAATTGCAAGTGAATTGCATTGATGTAGGTGCAATGAAAGAAGTTGAGTTGGATTGCATAAAATTTAAGATAACAATTAAAAAATAATATGCAAACGATTTTGAAATTTCATTGATGTGGTATATGGATGTCAATCCAACCCGTAACCATGGGTACCCTACCCGACCGTAACCGGTCAACTAGGATAATTACACGCTTTGACGGGTTAAGGGGCGGGTACGAGTAATACCCGGTTTCAAAATAAAGGATAGGGTACGGGTATGGTAATCAATAATACCCGCCTCGTTATATCCGCCCCGCTAACCAAAGGGTCAGATATTGATGATGAAGATGTAGACGATTATTATGTTTGTGTGGATTGTAGTAGCAAGAACAATTATTATGTGTTTGATGTTTTTATTTGTGTGGATTGTTGAAACTAGAACAGTTACAAGTATTGAGAATTTTTAATGGACAACAGTATGTATGTGCATATATGTGTATAGGTTCATAGCTTAGGATTCGTACACATGGTTACCCGAAAACCTGTGGTTATTCGGTGGGTAGGATATGATTATATAATTTTCATACCCGGTGGTTATTTGATCGGGTATTTTAGAAAGCTCTACCGGGCGAGTTAGGAGTTGGTATAGGGTAAACCCGCACCCAACCCTACTCATTATCATCCCATGTGGATGCTCTAAGTGGCATGCCAAGGTGGAATTTGTTGCAGACTTCATTTATTGAAAAAAATACAGAAAATAAGAAGGTAAGAGATTCGACTTCTTCACCTTCACCTTCCTCCTAGATTTTCTAACTGCCGCCAACCAGCCACTGGTTCTTGCCGGATGCGGTAGTCTTCGTCGGTGACGACGTATGGGAGGTGGCTTATTCTTTCTCTTTCTTCGATTCTTCGAAGCTCTCCCCCACCTCTGTTTCGCCGTACCTTGCAGATCCAATTTAGAGTTTTTGTTTCAATTGATTCCACCGTCAATTAATTAGAGAAACCAGATTTCCGCCTTGAAAAATTCCAGATCGTGAAACTGAAAAATCCCAAAGCATTTCAATTTTCACCATCAAAGCTTAATTGAAGTCATATAGACTTCTTCCCATTCCTCTTCTTCTCTTTGCTACCAATCCTCCGGCCGCACCCACCAGCTCTGTCTCGACCAGAATCGTGGCCAACCAACATCCACCACGACGAATCAACTACCCTAACTCACCCACTTTGCTCCCTCCTTCTCCCGGCGGGCATGGCCATGGATTTTTCTTCACCCGCTTCCTGTCGGAGAGGAGCGAGTACCGTATCGACTTATTATGGATTTTCGTACTGTCACAGCCGGGAGGAGAGTAAATAAAATTAAAATAATTTCTCTTTCTAAATTTATTTAATTTTATTGTTAGTAAAATTAATTATTTTTATTAAAAATGCTACTTTTAATATGATCTGGCATCTAGGTGGACGGATGTGTCTAGTTGGCAATGACATGTGCGCTGAGGTGGCATCCATGTTAGCGTAAAGTTCATATTACTAACGAAATCACTTATGACATTAAAGTTTTTAACAAAAATGGCTAAATTTGTCAAGTTATTTTTAAAAATGTGGTTACATCTGTGTATTTTTCAAAAAGATGATATTATTGTCACAACGCGAATAGTTATGGCAATAGAAGTATATTTTGCCTTTCCATTAATATTTTTAGAACTTGTAGCAAAAAATCAATTTAAGATACTACGGGCCCGTTTATTATTGTTGCTTGTTGTTGTTGTCTGTTTTGTTTTATGAAATTTGGAAAACCAAGAAAAAAAATCGTGTTTAGTTGAGTTTTTATTTTCTGTTGTGAATCAGAGTTGCACAACAAGTCCCAAACATGAGAAACAACAATTTATTGCTTTGGATCTGATTTGTAAACATGTTGCGCACGGGTTTCCTACTGGTTGGGCACTTGATTTCATTAAACCAGACCAGTTTTCGAATCCCCACATAAGCAAAAAAATTTCTTTTTTTTAACACAGCCGCCCCCCCCCCCCCCCAAACCCTACTTCTAACATATCAGTCGCCCCCCCCCCCCCCCCCAAATTATTCACCCCCTAAACCCTTTTCAACAGACTCAGAGGCTTCATCCGCCACCCTCTCAACAAGGCGCCACCTCCGCCTCACCTCCGCCGCGCCGTCCGCCACCTCCTCATTCGCCGACCCCTCCGCCTCCGCGCCGACCCAGCCCCCCGCGCAGCCAGCCCGCCGACCCGCCGCTTGCTGAGTCCTCTGCCTCCGCGCCCGACCCCTCCTCCTCCGCACTGACCCAGCCCGCCGCCGCGCAGCCCGACCCCTCCGCCGCGCTGTCAGCCCAGCCCGCCGACCCGCCGCCGACCACTTCCCCTCCACAAAAGCCTCACTCCATCTCCCCCACAGCAGGTAACTTCGACTTCTTCAAAGTATTATGTTAATCTATACTTTCTGAATATGTTCATGAATTTGGCATGTACGTAGTGATTGCTAAATTATGGATTGATTGCTATGTTATTTGTTTTGTGGTTTACCTCAGTTATGGAGAAAATTGTTGAAAATGGTGATGTTGTTTGTGTGGAGATTCAGAAAAATGATAATGGGGATGATAGCAAAATATGGGGTGATAAAGGTGAATCTGTGTTCATTGATCTTTTGGTGGAAGAAGTTAAAAAGGGAAATCGTGTTACTTCAACCTTTTCACCAACTGGATTCGCTAATCTCATTGCTGGTTTGAAAGAGCGGTTGAAAAGAGACTATACTAAGACTCAAGTGAAGAATAAGTTTAATGGGTTAAGGGGTAGACTCAGAGTTTTCAAGACATTGCTTAGTCATACTGGAGTGGGATATGAAGCTTCAACTGGTTTTGTTAGTGCAGAAGAACATGTTTGGGAAAGTGTTATCAAGGTAATAAATCAATGTCTTTTCAATAATAATAATACTAATTAAAATGAATGTTAAAAACTCATTTTACTTAATTTGAGATGATTTTATTAATGAGTGTAGGGTTCAAAGTTGCATCTTAGATTACGAAAGCATGGATGTCCTGAATATGACAAATTGTGCTACATATTTGGTGACACTACTGCTTCTGGAAATAATGCTCGTCCTTCAACCAAAGCTACTTCTAGTAGTAATGAGGAAGAGTTGGCTGCAACCAAAAGTGTTGAGGTAACTAATCTTGATGGTGAAGAGGAAGAAATCGGTGCAACTCCTGTTGTTGGTAAGGAGGATAAAAACAAAAACAAAGGCAAGGGGATAAAAAGAAAGCGAGATAAGATTAGCTATGCTGAGTCCATAGGAACATTGTTGTCATCCATGGTTGAGCGAGAGAAAATGAAAGTTGAGCGTGAGGCACAAAAGATGGCTTCTTCATCTGTGGGAGGAGGTGAAGTCTCCTCCAAGCCAAGTGATGATGGGCAACTTATGGAGTGTGTCAAGCTTTTGGATGAGATGAAAGTTAATGGTGCCTTGTTTGCATCAGCTGTGAAGTGTCTCCATGATTCTAAAGAATATCAAAAAGTGTTCTTGAATGTGTCCAAAGAGAGGAGGCGTGACTTGTTGCAGCTTTGGATGTGATGGATGCTTTGGCTGTTTTGTTATGTTTAAAACTCTCTTGTTCTGTACTATTTTGGAGTGTTATCATTTGGTTTGAAGTTGGTTTGTAATGAATATTTGTATGAATGTTGGATTTGATTATGATTTGAAATGAATGTGTTGTGATGTTTTTTCTATGGATGTTCATTACTTTACTTTGTATACACAGATAAATGGCTACTTTTTCATATTCATCATCAGACTCTGATGACGATAAATTAGTAGTAATAATGCTAGCATTGATGGAGGAGGAGAGGAGGAAGTCGTCTTCTAAAACTCCTTGTAGAACATCAGATAAAAGAGGACATGATTGGGTGCAAGAGATTCTCCGTGGACATCCCATTCGAATATATGAGCAGTTAAGGATGGATAAAAGGACATTTGTTTCTCTATGTGATGAATTAAAACGATAAGGAGGGTTGGAATCAACAAAAAATGTGACAGTTGAAGAACAAGTTGCAATATTCATGAAAGTTGTTGGACACTCATGGACCACTAGAGATGGCGCAGAAAGGTTCCAACATTCCACGGCCACTATATCAAAGTACTTTGGCATAGTGTTGAAAGCAGTCAACAAAATTGCAGTAAGGCTCATTAAACCACCAGATATGGGTGTGGTTCCAGAGCAGATGATGGATAACTCAAAATTTTACCCGTATTTTAAGGTTAACTTCTTATCCTTTATTTCATATTGCACATGTTTCATATTATGATGATCTTGATATAGGTATATTGTCTTACAGGATGCTGTTGGTGCTATAGATGGAGTGCACATTGATGCTGTAGTTCCAACTGATGAGCAAATCCCCTATCGAGGATGAAAAGCAAAAACAACACAAAATGTTTTGTGTGTTTGTTATTTTGATATGCTATTTACTTATGTAATAGCAGAATGGGAAGGCACTGCGAATGATGCTAGAATACTAATGGAGACAATCGCAAATCCAGATAATGATTTTCCAATGCCACCAAAAAGTATGATATCTACATTTCATTCATTTATTAATACAATATGAGTGATAGTGAGATCTTATTAGTTTATTTTCAACATATTCATTTAGGAAAATATTATCTTGTGGACTCTGGATTTCAAAATATCCCTGGATTTCTAGCACCATTTCGAGGAGCTACCCGTCATTTTCAAGAGATGAGGCGTAGAGGCGGACCAAGAGGGCGTAAAGAATTATTCAACTTCCGGCATTCAAGTCTGCGTAATGTGATTGAGCGTTACTTCGGAGTTTTAAAGGCAACGTTTCCGATTCTAAAGTTCATGCAGTCGTATAGCTTGAGGAAGCAAACAAGTATTGTCATTGCTTGTTGCGCCTTACATAATTTCATCAAGATTCATGCCGAAGATGATAAACTATTTCATGAATATGAAAATTATGAAGATGAAGAAGGTTCGACTTCTGGGGTTGAACTACCACTCACTGAGTTCAACGTCAGCTATGCAGCAACACGTGAGATGACCGAGAAACGTGATGCCATTGCTAACCAGTTATGGAGTGATAATCATGTTTAGTATTATTTTTTTTGTAAGGAACATGAAAGATGTTAGGTAAATTGAATTTTGTGAGACTTTGCTTAATATTGAGGGCATATCTCTTTTTTCTGGTTTTTAGTTTTTATAGTAGTAACTAAACGCGTTTTTGTTTCTTGTTGTCAGCTTTCATGATTTTTCAGATTTATCAACTAAACCGGTTTTTGTTTTCTGTTTTTTTCCTGTTGTGGTTGTACATCTGTTTACACAACACCACTGCAACCACAACAACAACAAAATGATACTAAACGGCCCTACATCTTAACATAATTAAGTTTAGGTATCAAATTGTAATATGCCAATGAAGCCCAAACAAAAAGGAGAGAGAAAGGGGAAAGAGAGTTGTTATGACCTATGAGTAGGTAATTACCATAGTAGCTTTAATCAATATATTAGCATGGTCCCTTTAGTGTTAGCGCCTAATCTAGTCCCTGCACAGTCTAAAATAAAGGGCTAAGGTTTGGCTAACACTCAATCTATTAGTATGATGCTAACACTAATCCGGTCAATAAGAACATTCTCTTTTTATGATTTTTAAAGGGAAGACATGTTTCTCATTTTTAAAAATTATAGGAAACACGCGTGGGACTACAAGTGTCATAAAAGCATACAAAAAACTCATATGAGAAACACAACAAACCACACCACAAAAAACATAAAGAAGACCAGAAAGCTCATTAAGCATACCAGAAGCTCTTCACACCATAAAATCACGGTTAAGGAAACCGTACTAGACTTCATACCGAATTCCATTCTGGTAGAGTATTTTGTGATACGACCGTGGTTCAACCATTTTATAGCAGTAAATACCATTTTTTGTAATAATAAAAAAATATAAAAAAACCGTATCGAGAAAATCAAGTTACCATACCTAAGTAATACCGGAATAAAACAAAATATATCGACCACTAAAATATTAAATATAGTCATAATTACTATACAATCACCCTGCCACATATGGCCAAAATAAAATGGATATGTTTATTCCCTCGCTAAAAAGGATATCGTTTGAAACAAAATTGGGTACAAAAACAAAAATTATCTCTCTTACGGCCTTACCTACCTCCCACTCGACACTCCAATCTAACTATAGGTGTCAATCGCGGGTTCGGGCTGGGTTCAATCGAGTTTCGGGTTAGTCGGGTTTCGAGTTCATCGGATTGCGTGTCACTCGGGTTCGGGTTTACCGGGTTACGGGTTTATCGGGTTACAGGTTTATCAGACTACGGATCAATCGGGTTGAGGGTTCATTGGGTTACGGGTTGATCGGTTTGCGGATTCATCGGGTTATGGGCCGGGCAGGTTGTGAGCGAATCGAGTTGCAAGTTGTTTGGGTTAGCACGTTGTGTTACTTACTCTTTACTCATTACAACTTACACTAATTTGAAGGGAAAAAAATTAGAAAATTTATTTCTACCACATATAGGTACTTATATTTTTTATAAGTACTTATAAAAGTTAAAAAAGCTTTTTAAAGTGATAAATTAATTTTGTATTCTTTTAAATGATTGAGTTATCGCAATCGTATAACTTAACTGATCAAGGTTAACCCTCATCTTCAAATCGAAATGCAACTCGAGCACAACTTAAATGAGTCAAATATTTATTTGGGTGTTGTAAAATAACGATCATGTAATGCAAAAGTTGCAACAAATGTAGAAGCATCAATGTTGTTAACCTGCGGGTCGACTCGCGGGCAACCTGGATTGACCTAGACCCGCCTACAAAAACGAGCTACAACAACCCATTAGAGTATCCGCCCGGATCTGGTCAAACCCGATGGGACCCGTCAAACCCGGTGAGACCCGGCAAAACCCGGCGGTTGGCCCGACGGAGCGAGTCAGCGGGCTTCCTCTCATGCGCGTCGCTTCTTGTTGTGCCTCTCAGTGGCGGCCGTTCTCTACGTTGTGATTTCTCCCGGAGGCTACAACAGCGAGCCTAGCAAACCAAACACTAAAAAACGAAACCCTAATAAATCAATTCTGGCCTCTCGGTCTTCCGTTCTCTCTCGCAACCGCTTTCATCATCGACGAGTCTGTGTATTTGGACGACAACTGGGATTGGGGAGAAAAAGATGAGAGAAAGAGAAGGGTTGGGAAGATGTAGTGAGAGAAGATAGGAAAGAAGAGTTGGAATTGGGCTGCGGGAGGAATTTTGGTAAAGATGAAATTTTGGGATAGTATTTTCTCTTTCAATTTTATTTTTCTTGGACCTGCTTAGTTTGGTTATAGGCTTATGGGAATGCAATCGTGGTAAAGTTTATATAAAATATATTTGCAAATTCATTTTAATAAATCTTCTCTTTTCATCATGGTAAACTAACTGTGTTCAACAATTTTTATTATTAGTCAAGAATAAAAAGTATTAAGAATCTAGGAATAACTCCGATGACTAGAATAAAAGCTAGTATAAGGGGACGGGTTAGCATGCTAACCCCTTAAGGGGTTGGTTTTTTGACACCCCCTTTTAATTGGTCAATTTTTCATTAATTATTGACAAGTATTAATGAAAGTAAACATAATAAATGTTCTGTTATTAAATACAAAGTAAGCATTAAATACACCACATTAATTAACACTTTACTGGTATTTGTACCACTGCACTGATACTCAGATATGACATTGCTACCAGTGCACTGATATCGCTACCAGTGCAGTGGTATATCTACCAGTACAGTGGTACAACGTATCAGTGCAGTGGTATATCTACCAGTACAGTGGTACACCGTATCAGTGCAGTGGTATATTTTTTGGAGGTGGTCGGAGGTAGTCTGCCGATGGGATTTTCACCGGAAAAGTGTGGCGGTCGGAGGAAGTCTGGTGGTCGAAGACTGCTGAAAAAGTAAAAATCAAATATAGTGAGAGAATTCCTAATGTGTATTTAATTCCTAATGTGTATTTAATAGTGAGAGAATTCCTAATTAATATGGTACATTTAATTCCTAATATGTATTTAATGTATGTATTAAATTCTATAGTTGTATTTAATATACTAGGGGGGTGTCATTTTTCCAACCCCTAAGGGGGTTAGCATGCTAACCGACCCCTGCTAACCCCCCTTAGGGGTTGGAAAAATGACACCCCTAGTATATTAAATACAACTATAGAATTTAATACACACATTAAATACACATTAGGAACTAAATGTACCATATTAATTAGGAATTCTCTCACTATTAAATACACATTAGGAATTAAATACACACATTAAATACACATTAGGAATTCTCTCACTATATTTGATTTTTCCTTTTTCAGCAGTCTTCGACCACCAGACTTCCTCCGACCGCCACACTTTTCCGGTGAAAATCCCATCGGCAGACTACCTCCGACCACCTCCAAAAAATATACCACTGCACTGATACGGTGTACCACTGTACTGGTAGATATACCACTGCACTGATACGTTGTACCACTGTACTGGTAGATATACCACTGCACTGGTAGCGATATCAGTGCACTGGTAGCAATGTCATGTCTGAGTATCAGTGCAGTGGTACAAATACCAGTAAAGTGGTATTTAATGTGGTGTATTTAATCTTACTTTGTATTTAATAACAGAACATTTATTATGTTTACTTTCATTAATACTTGTCAATAATTAATGAAAAATTGACCAATTAAAAGGGGGGTGTCAAAAAACCAACCCCTTAAGGGGTTAGCATGCTAACCCGTCCCTAGTATAAGTAATCTGTAATTAAGCATGAGATTAAAGTGGGATGGATTTAAGTATTGTTGAATTTTTTCTATGTTGGATTTAGGATGGAGTACAGTGTAATGATTATTTCTATATATCCGGGCTAAACCGAGTCAAATCGAGCTAAAACACGTGATCCATTAATCCTTGACCCACTAGCTCGATCGGGTCAGGGTCGACCCGCGGGTTGACAACCTTGAGAAGTATGGAAAACAAGTAGACAAATTAAGAAAACTTTTCTAAAACAAATGATTGTTGAAACTAATGGTCAATTTATTTTTATAATGGGTGTTAGGTTATGTGTACTATAAAAGAAACAATTGAGTTAATTTATAATAGTTTCTCAAATATATTTTAACTAGCGTTGCAATCGATCCGAGCTAAGTCACTTTTAGCTAAGTTAAGTTCGATATCAAAATTTCAAACTAAAACTCTACACAAATTGGAACTTTTAGCTAGCTCAAGCTCAAATCCAAAACTCAAACTCGAGCTCAGCTTGTACTTGACACAAGATCTAAGAAACTAAACTCGAGCTTCGTGCATCAACTGAAATAAATGCTCGTGCTCTATTAAGGACTTGCAATTGGCAAAGCCAAAAGAGCCCAACTTATTAGCAAAATTTATATTTGCCAACATAAACAGACAAATGACTTTGTAATGGGTAGGGGTGGGCAACGGGACGGGACGACCCGTTTGAAACGGGTACCCAATCCCATTTAGATAGCAATCTCCTTCCTATGTCCCAAACCCGTACGGTAATCAAAAGGAAAGAAAATGAGTTTCTCTTTCTTTTATAACTTAGGAGCCGTGCGAGATAAAAGTCCCATGCACTGATTTGAATGAGAGAAAGAAGTGATGAATTCTCTTTTCAATCCTAACCCTCCCACTCCAATCATTGCTTTTCTTTCTGTTATTTCGAAAGTAGTTGCTTCAGTTTCAGCCACTCAAATTTTCGATATTCCTTTCTATTTCTCATCAAACGAATGACATCTTCGTCTAGAAAAATGTATCTTTCTTCTCATCAAATAAGAAACTTATCTTTCCAAACTTATGATCGTATCTCAAACTAATCGTCTTCTGAATTGGAAAGAGGATGAAGGTGGAGTTTTATGCAAAGTATGAATTAAATATTCAGAGGATATATCATGAATGAAGAAAACACAATAGTTTGCTTAAATGGACATTTATCTAGTCGTGGATTGATAATGACTGCATATTTAGCGACCAAAAATCATATTCAAAATAATATCACATAAAATACGCATCCTAATTAATTATTACCAACTACATAAAAAAATTAAAAGACTAGGGTTTAACATTTTGGTTCTCCTCATAACGAAGGAAAGCATTTTTTTAGGAGATTAGAATTGTAAATCTAAGGGCGTTTGGAAGTTGCGTTTGTTTTGGTGAGATTACGTCTAGGTTCAAGTCCTTAAACCGCATAACTTAAGAATTATCTTAAGTGGTTGCTATTGGCCGAGATAATTTAGGTAGTTAATAGGTGTTAATAATTAACTGGTGATTAGGGGTAATTAATGTATTAAGTATTAAAAAATAAAAGAAATCAAAAGTCAGCCGCACTCATAAATCACCTTCCAAATTCTTATGCAATTGGCGCAAAAGCTGCCAAATCCGCACCCCGCAAGCTGCCTCTCCGTCATTGATATAACGTAAAAGCATGAATGATTAATAAATATATTGTAAATCATTAATAATATTATTTGAATAGTTAATAATGATGTGACATAACATTAATAATTCATTCTTAAGTGTTAATCATGAAAATGTTTATGGTTAACAATTTATCTTATATCTTAACGGCCTAATTTTATTTTTTAACGTTCAAGCCTATTTATTAATATTTTTTTAGTGTTGAAAAAAGGACAACAAATTTTTGAACGTTTTTAATTACATTTAACACTTGATAATGAATCCAAACATTTTAATTGATTTTGTGTTGGTTCTCAATGAAATTCACTTTCTTTATCAATGACGTGCACATTTTTTATTAATGGTTTTCAATATCCGAATGTTGTATATTTACACTTAATATTCAATGATAATAAAGATGTTGTAAATCAATGATAATGTTATTCAACTCATTAATAACGATGTAACATAACTTTAATAATTCATTTTATAAACATTGATAATGAAAATATAAATCGTTAGCAATTGAACTAAATTCGTTAATAATTTAATCATAAAATATTGATAAGTATACTGGAATTGTTGATAATGATGGGTATATTAATAATAAATTATTTCATAATCGTTGATAATGTAATTGCAAACCGTTAATAATGTCATTGAGAGTGAGAGAGAGAGTGTGTGAACATTTTTAATTTCCTTTTTAAATCATGAAATATTAATTATGAATTTTACTTTTAATTTGGAATTTCATTAACTCTTAAATACAAATATTTAATTATATCTTTTATTGCCCTTTTAAGTGGTTAGACTTAACTTTCTCTCTCCTCTTCCTATTGGCCAATAAAAACTTAAGAAACTCCTTAAGTTTTAGGCTTAAGGACTGGATCCAGCCCGGGATTATTATTATACATGTATTGTTTAGAATTCATCGTTTATTTATTTTTTAGCATAAACAATACGTGGATTGTTTCTGTGATGTGACAGAAACTATAACTCAAAATGAGTGATTGTTATATCTCAGCTTTTGGTTGTGATTGTTGAGTTGAGGTTGTTTTGTCTCAGCTTTTAACTGACGTAACATACACAATCACACATATCAAACATTGTATTTTACAATGAATCAAATTCGACTGCATGTATAATAATATACATGCATTTATAACAATGCATCTATTTAACAATCGCAACTTCCAAACGAGCCTAATAGATTTTGACTTCGCTCTTGAAAAATGGTCTAATAGCTTCAACTTTTAAGTATTAAACAAACTGATTCTGGTACTGGTATAATTTATCGCTAGAAAACTGTGGATACATGATATTCGAGGGCAATGTTTGCTGCTAAAGAATATACTAATTCAACAAAGATTCGAGTGTGAACAGTGAAACCTAAAAGTGCGAAATTGTCTACTGTGTGCATTTTCACCCAATCTTTTCAGTTCTCACCGAAATTGTCATCGCCTCAAATTCATCCATCCGCAGAGACGAAAAATACAGATTGGCTATGAAACCTCCACGTTCAACCCTCTTGTGGGCACCCTCCACGTGTCCATTTCTCCGCTGCCCACCAATTCCCATTCCCATTACCATACATACACGCAAGAAGGATCCAAGCCAAAGAAGCATCAATAACCCAATTGCCAATCTCCAATTCCCCCCTTCCATTTCACACAAAATCACAAACTTACTACTGAGGCTGAGATTGAGAACCAAGACGAAGGCGAGGCGGCATCCAATTTCCATCCTCCCTTTTGGCCGCGTCTTGATTGATTGGGTCCTACAATCTACATCCCCTGGCTTTCTCTCCATATAAATAAGGGAACCCAGATGCTCCGTTCTTCAATCCGCACCCTCTCCCGTCAAAATCTCATCTTTGCTTCTGCTTCTCTTCGCGCTCCTCGTCACTCGTTTTCTTCTTCGTTGGGTTCATCGCTGATCGTTTTCCGTTTCCCGCATCACCCATCACGGTCTTTGAACCCTCCGCCGCTGTCGCTTTCTTCTTCTACTGCTAATTCTCTGAGATTCGATCGCGCTATGGCCAGCAATTCCGACTCTCCCCAGTCCATCTACGACTTCACTGTCAAGGTAGTAAATTGAACCCAAAGGCGCTTTCTTTTTAACTTGGGTATCCCTTTGATTGGGCTGTGGCTATGCCCGGCTGATTTTTGGCAGTTGGGGGTTACTGGGTTTTTGTGGGTTTCTGGGTAACCGTTTCGTTGAATCCAAAGTTCAGCGGGATTTTGTACCTATTGCTCTGTTTGATTGTGTGTGGCTTGCTGTTAGTTCTGATTGGTTTCAGGATTTCAGGGATTTTTCAATCTTCTAACATGATTTCTGTTGTTTGCACTTTGCAGGATGCCAGGGGGAAGGATGTTGATCTCAGTATCTACAAGGGGAAGGTTCTTATGATTGTTAATGTCGCTTCTCAGTGGTAATCTTCTGTTTTTTCCCCTAATCTATTAGCTGTTGCAAAAGCTCTTCATAGAACATGGGAAATTACTGTTTTTTTGTATCACTGATGAATTCCAGTAGACTGAAAGCTCGGTTGTGGCACCTAATATACGGATATCTATGTATTCAATGAATCGTTAACAAGTTTGTTTGTCGGTTGTTTGAACTTGATGCAGCGGCTTGACCGATTCGAACTACACCGAGCTGACTCAGCTGTACCAGAAGTACAAGGCTCAAGGTCGCCACCACTTAGCCCTTCTTTTGATTGTCTGTTCTGTAACTTCAGTATGTTTATTCACACAAGACTTTGTTCCTCAGCCTGCCGGTTTATAACCTCCCTCTAAATGAAACATGATTGCTGATTTGTTGTGCGCCTGTTTCGGGAGCAGGTTTGGAGATCTTGGCTTTCCCTTGCAACCAGTTTGGATCTCAGGAACCTGGAAACAATGAACAAATTGTGGAGTTTGCTTGTACTCGTTTCAAGGCCGAGTACCCCATTTTCGATAAGGTGGGTTATCGTGCTTCCTGCCTTAATATAACTCAGATATGACTTAATCTAATGCATAATAACTAGATCAATTGTAGAGTCAGATCCTCGCTAATGGAAACAATTTAGCTTTATTCTACCGCTCAACATACCTTGTGGATTCCAACTTGTATCTGACTTGTTGATGAAAAACTGATGCAGGTTGAGGTGAATGGTAAAGAAGCTGCTCCAATTTACAAGTTCCTAAAGTCGAGCAAAGGTGGACTGTTTGGGGATGGTATCAAGTGGAACTTCACCAAGTTCCTTGTCAACAAAGAGGGACAGGTCGTCGAGCGCTATGCTCCTACTACCTCCCCTCTCAGCATGGAGGTAAGAGGGATGCTTCTTTTTTCTACGACCAAACACTTCCGAGTTCATCATTTTTTTCCCAAAGCCTGATTGGGTTACTAACTCCACCATGTTTTGTTTTCTCTTTGTTGTGCCATTTGCAGAAAGACGTGAAGAAACTGCTTGGAATTGCCTAAGGCATTGGAACTAGAGTGTACACTGTCTATCAGACAGGGTTTATGGATGAATAAGGAAGAAACTAGCTCCAATATTGCAGCATCTTCTGTAAAACATCCTAATAATAGACATCTGAATTGCTTGTATTTTGTTGCTTGTCTGGAAAGAGTGTAATAATATAGTTACAGACTTACAGTTATCTTCAATCGTCATTATCTCTTCTTTTCCTTCCATTATTTGCCACCTCTGTGTCCAATTTAGCTGGTATGGATCTGGAAAACGTTTCCTTTCTTTCCAAGAACAAAGTTGTAGATAATGACACAGGAGGCTTCGGGCTGTTTTCATGCTCCACGGACACGGCTCTGCATGAGAACTACTGTCGGCAGAAAACTAACGACGAATTAACAGAACTGGACTGGAAATATAAAGGAATGGAAAACAAGAATGGTAATTTGGTTTGGTATTGACCAGCCGACACGTGCTGACCGACGACATGTGCGGGCATCTTTGTGAACTGAGAACGACCAAAGAAACGATCTTTCTCTCTTTCGGTCTTTCCCCTTCTTCTTTTAAATCCTTTCTTTCGTACCTTCCTTTCTCCAACATGCTTTAGCCGGCTTCATTCCAGAGAAACGAATAGCTTTGCATCCGCTTTGTATCTACGCAGGGTTTGGACTTGGGACGTTTGAGCAACTTGGGAAATGTCGAGCCAGCCCCAAAAGTACCCAGAATCAGTTTACGATTTCACTGTCAAGGTTAGTCTCTCTTGCTTTGGCTTAAATTCTACCAACGAATCACTCCTTGCTCTCTCGTTTCAAGCATTCATAGGGTAGGAAACCCAAAAAGATCACGACTTTGGTTCCTTCACACCAGGTTTCTTACATGGGTTTAGTTTGTTCTTCCACGATTCACTGATATGTGGTTGTCACTGTGATATCTGAGACTTGACTGGAATTATGGGTACTTCTGAACCGTGAAATAGCACTAAATATTGGGCATTGGTATTAGATGCGGTATGCAAACTCATCAAGTTTCGGTCTTTTTGTTCTACTGGGTTTGCTTGGTAAAATGGTGGTTTCAGCATCAGCCAAACGACTTTAGGGCATCCACTTCTGGAAAGAGTGCTCCGTTCTTTTACTCATTAACCCCAATTTTGACTGATGCAGGACGCAAAGGGAAATGATGTAAGCTTGAGTATCTACAAGGGGAAAGTAGTACTAATTGTCAATGTTGCTTCCAAATGGTATATCATTGATGCCCTCTCTTGAACTTCGATAACTCCCTTGAGAAACTTACTCCCCTTCGAAATTCGGCAATGATTTTCTTGCAGCGGAATGACCAACTCCAATTACACAGAGCTGAATGATCTGTACCGAAAGTACAAAGATCAAGGTTAAACTTCAAATCTGATCATTCACTGTGTTTATGAGAACCTGGATGACACTTCAGTAACACATTGTAGCCGTTCTTGGGAGGAATCTGCAGGCCTGGAGGTACTAGCATTCCCTTGCAACCAGTTTGGTGATGAAGAACCGGGGAACAACGAGGAGATTGCTGACTTCGTCTGCACTCGGTTCAAATCCGAGTTCTCCATCTTTGATAAGGTAATAACACAGCAACAACATTATACACACATTTGAGTAGCTATTCTTTTTTCTCATTCGAATCTCTTGTTGGTGGGGGTTGTGAGGATGAGCAGATAGAAGTGAATGGAGAGGATGCATCCCCACTGTACAAGTTCTTGAAGACAGGGAAATGGGGAATCTTTGGTGACGACATCCAATGGAACTTTGGCAAGTTTCTGGTCAACAAACATGGCCAAGTTGTTGATCGTTACTACCCAACCACTTCTCCCCTTAGCATCGAGGTAAACAACCCCCTAATAAGGAATAGTAGGTGTTCCCCTTCACTACTACGGTTTTCATGGGATTCTCATGCTTAGGACATCAATTATTGTTTGACAGTATGACATAAAGAAGCTGCTGGGAACCTCATAAGAGAGTTCTGCTACTGATGAATAGCTCTTATCATCGACATAGGAATTCATTTCAAGCACGTGACGTTTGCTTCCTTCTTCCTGCAACTGCTGCTGCTGTCCTTTATTAATGTGTCCAGAGATTTTCGGGGACTCCCAAGCATCCTAATTGGACGCGACATCCCAAGCCTGTGGCTTCAGAAACTTGGCTATGGAATATGTAAAACTTGTTTCAGTTTATGGTCTTTCTTTTCCTATCTGGTCTTCATCTGTAACCTTTAGAAGTCTCTGATCAACAATATTGCATGTCAGATCTAAGTCAAGTTCATTACATACTTCCATACTATCATAAAGAGATGAGAAATAAAACCAACAGGATTTGATTAAACTTTGTTACTGCCAATCACCAAAGACTGATACTCATAAATACCCAGAAAACAAATTCTAAACTGATGGAAGAGAGCCCTTAAAAATGGTTGACTTTTTGTTACAGACTAGAGGTTAGCACAAACTGCATTCCACGTCGCTGCCCTCATATGTTGGGGAAGAGAAAGAGAAAGGGATGAAAGGTGAAATCTAGATGCTCAAAGGAGAGATCTTTTCTTCTGCAACTACATGTACAACAACACATCTGTACAAAATTGCCATGTGCCTGTTGCTGCAGCCAGTCATCATCAATCATCAGTAGTTCATCCACGAGTCAAGTCAATGTCCATGTGAGGGTTGTTTCTCAGCTCAACCGACCGTGAACCAGGCCAGACCCCCATGGGCGAAGGCGTGTAGTGATGCTGCTGTGTTGTAGTAGAGGGAGGAGGAGCACTAGCAGGGGTAGTAGGGGTACTAACAGCTAATTTCTCGCTGTTCCGTTGGCTTTTATCACTCTTAGGCCGCCCAACTGGTCTTTCGGGCTTCTTTGTATTACCATATACAAAACTGCAGATCACGACCTGCACCGAAACCCCAGTTCTAACTTAAGCAGAAGCCTGACGTTCAAATTGGTAATGTTCATAAACCAGACCTTTAGAACAGCCGATATAAAATACCTGGACTAGGCTTGCAGCAGTAAGCATGCCGATTGCACCACCAATGACATGACCATCAGGAGTAGAGAGAGAAGCACTCATCCCACCAGTTCGATTACGTGGACCTCCATCTTCAGCCACCAAGTAAGAACCCGACAAACACAGTATCTCAAATCGGCCCTGTAACAGCTAAATATAATAAATAAGTCCATACATTCAAAGGAGAGCGATGAACAATAACGGCTAACCAAGCGAACCGCAAAGGCTAAGGTCAGAAGCTGCGTTCTTTCTTGTAGAAAACATCAGCAACCACGTTCAAATAAACCTTTTACTCAAAAGAAATGAAGAACAAAAAATAGGTCTGTGCAAGCTTGCATCACCATTCAGAAAACATCCAAAGGATAAATGCTGATGAATGCATTTTCATACATACGGAGATATGCCAGAATGAAGAGGCCAGCTACAAACTAGGTAATCCCCAGTCCAGCCTTAGTCATCAACTCAAAGGACAAATTTCTTTTTTGTAGTTATCAAGTAAATAGAAGTGACAATAAACAGGGGAGGTATGATCATCAAGAGTGCCACTATAAGAAACCCAATAGAGTAAAATACAAAAAATCCAATTTGGTTCTTTTCCACCAAAACCACTACCAACACTACAACTGAAGTGAAAGACTGTTTTACTAACAATTTACCAAAGATGCCACCGGATTTTGACAACTGCCTCTGAGTCATCTTCAACAGACAAATCCACAAAGTGCAATCTATAAATTCCAGATCTTGCTTAATATCAGGAATCTAAAATCTTTACCAATGTAAAGGTACTTGCCACCAAAAACTGGTAGCTCAGTGAAGCACTCATTGCAAGCCTGATCAAAGCAAGACAGGAACATTGTGCCTTCCATCTGTCAACTATGTCTACCACTAACAACAACCATCGATGTTTAAACTCACAATGCTAACTATGTCAACCTATAGCTGAGTAATGCCATGTCACAGGTTGCTTATATGTGATTGATCTTCTAATATACAACCAGCCCTCACAAATATTATCCTAAACATAAATCAATTCACATACTGAAGAGAAAATTCAAAATAAAAAAATTAAACCTATCGCCCTTATAAATAAAAGTCGACTCAAATCTTGTTCGTTCTACTCTTATTTCCATTATGTACCCAATTCAAAGATATTTGGTATCAACTCTATTTAACTGTCACATGTAAACTGAAGAGCAACTTGCTATGTCAGTTTGAACCACTTTCAACCTTCCATCTCGTAAACTAGTGGTGCTGTAGTCACTTTTATGAGTTTTAAATGTATTGATTTACAGATTTAGAAAGTAAACAAGGAACGAAACAAAAAATGGGATATAAGGGGAACAAATGCCCTTCAAAACCTGATCCTTAGATTCAACTACTGATGCAGATGATTCAAGCCATTGAAACTAACAATGAACGTGGGATTTGAAGGCTTTAACCTCATATGTGACAGTCGGCCCTGAAGATGCTGGTTGACGCAGTGTGACAGAGGAAGCTGTACCAGTTCCTGACAAGACACAGACAGCCCTAGGCCTCTGTTGTGCAAATGACAATATTTTTGCAACTATATCCTGCAAATGGAAGAAGAAAAAAGTGTCAAGCTACCATCCCTAGATAGCTACTGCACAAATGCATAAAAAACTAATGTGCATCTCCACCATTAATGACCTGTGTTCAAAGTCATATAGAAGAATCAGAAGTGAAAAGGAAACCTATAATTTTGACCACACATATTCAAGAAAAATGAATTAACACGATGGGTAAGTAAGTTACTACAAAGACCATTGCCAAATTTACATGACAATCTCATGAAAGAGCAGAAATCCATATGGATTCAGGAGCAGTATTACAGGGAATGGACATATTCTAAAATGAAAAAAAAAAAAACGAAAGCATTTAACATACCTCTCCAGCTAAGATTCTGATCACATGTGGTGCGAAAGCCAAGCCCGCAGAGTTGTTCATCCATTCACCTGGCCCATCAAACAAATATTAATGAGAATAGGCAGAATAAGACAGCCTATGATCATCCAGATTAACTTGAAGCAACAAGGTGATATCACTAATTGATGCGTGCTTTCTCTTGCAGACACCACTAAACAAAAATTGACTGATGGAACAAACATTATCACGCTATATAAATGAGTTTCTTCAGTCTTCACATCGTCTAGAAAGCAGTGCACTAATGGCAATTCCAATGGCTATGCGGAATATGGGACAGTCACTTATAACTAAGGGAATCAATATAGAATCCGACAAGGACAAACAGTATCAACTTAGAGCAAAGCGTCCTAACAACACTAGAGCACCATAGCTACCATACACACTACCTCAATCACAAAATAGCTTCAAAATTGTATGTTAATCACCTAGATTAGCCAGTCGTTGCTTTCTCCCTGTGCCAGGTGGCCGCCCTCTACGCTTAGATGGGCTCAATGGATCTTGCTCCGAAGATGGTTGTTGTTTAGGCTTTACCAGCATAGGAGATAAAGCAAGGGAAACCTGCCCATCTGGGGCATATTTTCGTGGCCTTCCTCTCTTCTTCTTCACCGGCTGCTCACTCACAGCCGCTCCAGGTGGAGGAGCACTCATATCAATATCAATGCCATGGCCGCCATGACCAGAATTCACATTTGAGTGCTCTATCGAGAATGCAGGTGCAGATGAGCCAGGCCGGGCATTGTTCTGAATCTGAAAGTTTGGGGTTGGGGAGGATCTGAACTGGGGTGGAGGGTGCAATGCCCCAGTCTGTGACTGGTATCCTCCAGGCCCACCATAACCAGGCCCCCTATGAATGTAATACGGATTTGAACCACTAGATAATGCCATAGCTTCTCTTCCATCCATGCATTTACTACGAAAAATGGTACAGGTATCACAATAGTACAAGTTCAAAAAAGTTGGAAAACGAAAAGAATCGAGAGCTTCGGAGTGATAAAGGTGGCGCCTTTAAGGATTCCTTATACAACTAGACTTCACAACTTAATAAGAAATGGTGTGAGGAATTCCAGAACCAAAGGGTTTTCAGGGGTTTTTCTCTGAAGTAGCCAAAAACGAAATGAAGCTGTGAACTCTAGAGCCAAAAGCAAAGCGCGAAGACAGGGAAATCAGAACCTTTCGCCGCCACACACGGAGAAACTCAAAGGAGCTGCTTTCACCGTGAAACAGCAATCAATAGAAAGCAAAAGAGAACTCTCAATCTAAAAATCCAAATTTGCCGAAATTGTGGGAAATGGGGAAACGAAAAAGGAAGAAGAAACACACCCTAAAGAACGAGAAGAGCAGGGCTTCCTCCAACAATACAGCACAGAGCTAACTCAAGCTGAAGCGCCAAACGTAAAAACAACAAATGCAGAGAGCAGGGGTGAATCAAACGCTCAAAGACAGCAACTTTCAGGCGCGGAAGTAGAGAACAGCTTGAGAGACCAGAAACAGAAACCCATGTACTCCTAACAAACAACCCCAGAAGAACAAAACCCTAGATTTCCCTTCTGCTCTCAAATCTAGGGTTTTAAGAAAAAAAGGGGAAATGCAGGGAGGGAGGTACAGAAGAGGAAGCTGGTGGTAAAAGGGAGAGATGAAAGAGAGGGCAAGAAAAGACAAAGACGCTCAGAGCGAAAGCGAGAGAAAGAAAGGAATTGAAAAATATTGAATCTGCTCCTGAAGCTTTTGAATTAAAGAGAGAGAAAGGAAAGGGTTTGGGGTTTTCCTTCCTTTTCTGTTTTTGTTTTGTTTCTTTTTTACTCTCTCCCCCTCTTTCTGTTCAATCAATACCAAACAAGTAAAGACCTTTGCTTTGCCCTTTGGTTTATTTAATTGTCCAAGTAGACCAGAGAGTGAAGGGAAGGAAGGAGAGACAGGGTGGTGGCCTAGAGAAGAAGGGAAGGAAGGAGTGTTTTATTTTGACTAAAAATTAGTGAGTTAGAGAGAGAGTGAGTGTGGACAGGACAGAGTTGGGTTTAGGGCAATGGTGGCCTACCAAAGTACCAAACCCTTTTGCACTATTATGTCACTTTCAGATCACCCAATTTTATGACTGAGGCCACTCTGCCCCCACCACCACTATCTCTCCCTCCTTCCAAGTTCCAATGGCTACCAGCCCAAAGTTTTGAGTTTCCTCCCAGCCCCAAATTCATCAATTTCACATACTCTCTCTCTCTCTCTCTCTCTCTCTCTCTCTCTCAAACTTTCTTGTTATTTGGATGTGTAATGATGCTCTGTTTCTGCCTGTGGCTTACATCTTACCATATTCATGTAAGTTCACAAGAGGGTCACTGGAAATTGTGGGGTTGGAATGGGTCATGGAGCAGGGAGAGGAGAAGAGAGGAGAATCAAACAAAAGAATGGTCGTCTAACAGGCAAATGGGAGCCAATATAGACACACTGCAATAATGGCAGCAGCACCAATGGAAAAGGGTATGGAGGGAATGGCAAGTATCTGTATCAACACTTCTGCACCCTCTTGAATCTGACCAACTCTTTTCTCTAGTTTTAAATTCATTCAGCATCGAGTTATAATATTGTTTGTTTACGTTCCTGGATATTTAGTTTCATCCAATCAACAAGAATTTAAGATTCATTTTACCTAAATAATCCAAGTTTAGGGTTCTTGCCTCTTTGCTGCTAGCAAGTCCGGTTCATATGTCGAGGGAAATCGTTCGTATGGGGTTGATTCAAGTTGGGTTTGTGACTCTAGAATCAAACCTATTATATGTACATTCAACTATTAGAATGACAACGATGCGATCTGATGACATCAGTTTGTAAAAAAAGTCAAATATATGATACTTAATGTTGAAATGATGTTTCGACCGTTTCATATACTAAAATCCACCAAGTAGTTTAGACTTCGATAGGGGAAAATCGGCCCATATAATATCTGTGTAGTAAGATTTCACAAACAGTGCTTCCAAATCCATTAGTAGCCTAGAACATATAATGGTCCACTTTTGTCCAGATATTGGAGGAGGGGTAAACTGAGCCCTATTTGGTAACTGGAAGTCATAGATATGGGAAAATCCATTGGATATTCACATGTCACTAAATGATGGAGAGGACAACAGAGGATGGTTTTTTTGTTTGTCCCGTTATTCCTTCTTTTTCTTCTTCTTTTGTTTGCCTCAAATTCAACCAATTTACACATCCCCACCCCCCATAAAAATGAACGGAAAACATGGTCTAATCTAATACCAATTATTTTTCAATTTAAAAAAAGGAAGTTGATTTTCCTTGGATGACTAGATTTTCTTGATCAGCATAACCCATTTCGTTATATGTTGAGGTTTCTATCCGGATGATGTGTTGGTTAGTATTTGGGTTAATGCCACGTTTGGTCACTGGATTTACTAAAATGTGTCATGTTTAGTCACTAGAAAAAATTAAAATCAGTAATGGTCACTAAGTTTGGTAAAACATGTTATGTTTGGTCACTCTTCGTTAGTCTCCGTTAACACCGTTAACATTTTGTTGATGTGGCAAACAGAAGTGATGACTCACCCAAAATTAACTCTGAAAAAAACAAAATTTGCCACCACGTCAGAAAACTTGCCATGTCACCAATAACCAAACCTAACCACATTTACCCGACCCTCTTCTTCCATCTTCCTAGGATCTCTCCCAAACCAAATCAAATCCACCACTCGCACCCTCTGATTCCATCTCTATCATCAGCTAACTACACATTAGTGAACAACACACAGTAGTTTCTAAGGAATCAAATTTTCCAACAACATAACCCGATCCAACAGAGTTGGAAAGCCGGCCTCTAGTAATAAATAACATAACAACGGAATTTCGATATGGTGTTGGCCGGCCAAGGGCGGCGAAGGGGAGTTTGAACTAATTTACCTAGAGAGATGGAGGAGGTTGTTAAGGATGCGAGAGAAGCCGAAGCATATCCGAGGATACGTCCGGATAGTATGGACGGCCATCTAACGGAGCAAATCCTCGATCGTCTCTACGAACAAGTTGAGGGAGCGGGTCAACGGGATGTAGAGCGTCAACGACACAGCCGAGAACGCCACCTCAAAGAAGAGCTGCAACATTCGAGTTTAGCGTGAATCCGACCAGCAACCACCGGTTTCATCCTCAAGTCCACCACCACCACTTCTTTCCTAGCCCGAGCCAAATAAATGTCAGATCTACAACCATCATCGACCTGCTCTGTAGCCATCTCAACCTAATTTCATAGGCGCTCCTGGCAATCAACAACAATGACAGATTGGGCTCGACGCAAGAACCCTCCTCGCGATATGATGAAGAAGACGACTGGATCTAGCTTCCTCCCCGCAAGAACCCTACAGTTGTTGGAATAAAAGTCATGTGTCATTGCACATGGGATCTTAGTTATGCTTTGTCGTTTAGAGTCACTTGTTGGAGTCGAATCTATTATGCGTTAGTGGAGTTAGCTGGTTAGAGCAGTTAGTTGTGGGTGCTGAAAAACATGGGAAATAAGGCTAGTAGATGTTAGTGGGATCCAAAAAACTAGGAGTAGTCGAGTAGGGACTTTGTATTTAATCTGTTCTTTGTTCTTTCAATAAGATTGGTCAGTTTGCAGCAAATGGATTCTACATTGTGGTAACAGAGCCTAAGCAAATTGTAACCAGTGAGTTTGCGTGATTGAGGGACTGCATTTCAGAGTGTTAAACTTTGGGTTTGGGAAACACGAGCAGTTGGTGAGGATTTTCTCTTTGGTTGGTGAGTGAAACACGAGAGGCTGTGAGGAAATCCAATTGCTGAGTGTTGTAGAGCTGTGAAAGCTTAACTGTGATTATGGGAGTGTCCAGTGGCTTTGCTCAGATGTGTATCCCTAAGTTTGATGGTGATTATGATCATTGGAGCCTACTGATGGAAAATCTACTCCGTTCCGAAGAGTATTGGAGTGTAGTATGTGATGGAATCACGGAACCAGCAGCAAGCGTGGAGCTTTCTGAAGCTCGGTCCAAGACTCTAGAGGAATTGAAATGAAAGGATTTCAAGGCTAAAAATTATTTGTTCTATAGCATTGACAAGTCCATTTTAAAGACGATTACTCACAAAGCAACAGCAAAAGAACTGTGGGACTCCATGAAGGTGAAATTTTGAGGAAGTGCTGAGTTCAACGTGCTCGTTTGCAATCTCTTGGAAGGGATTTTGAAGTTCTAGAGATGAAAGAGGGAGAAAAGGTTAATGATTATTTTGGAAGGGTGATGGTGGTTTCCAATGCTATGATAAACTGTGGAGAACAATGACAGTTTTCAAGATAGTTGAGAAGATTCTTAGAACCCTAACTGCGAGATTCAACTACGTTGTTTGTTCCATAGAGGAGACTAAGGATATTGACGCTTTGTCAATTGATAGTTGATAACGATGTATTTGCACATGTTTGCACCCTTAGTTCTTATCCATTTGCGGCTAGTAGTCTTGTATTTTTGGCCCGTTTTACGCCAGGTTGTGCTACTTTATCATATTTCAGGTCCCAGACGTCGAAGGAAAGGCTAAACACGAGTTTCAGAGCATTTGGAAGTCATTCGGTCGAGCTGGGGCCAAAGCACGGGCTGGCCTAAACCAAAACACGGCCGTGTACACAAACAGGCACGCCAGTGTTTTTATTGTCGAGAGCTGAACTGATGGAAAAGCAAAACACGGGCTGGCCTAAAGCAAAACACGGCCGTGTCCATATTTAGGCACGACCGTGTTTTGGCCAACGCGGGCGTGTTTTTAACACGGGGCAAAACACGGGCTGGCAAAACCAAAGCACGACCGTGCCCTCGACCGTGTTTTGCCCAAGGTCGGCCTTTTAGGCAGATTTGATCCAAAGGAGAAGCAGTTCCGAGTTTTAGAGAGATAGAGCGATTCCTAGAGAGAGA